TACTGGGGTATGTAACCCTACTATCACACCAAACTAGTTCTCACTACGTTCTCGAAAACGGGCTTCAACTGTGTACGAACGGACTGGACCTACTAAGAACCGTTTGGGATCTATTTACAAACTTCATCGAACGTACTCGAACGGGTAGGTCCTCTAGAACTCAGACAATGCTCAAAATGTTCTCGTGGTCGTCACGTTCTACAATTAGAACGAGTGAAAACGTACTAACGACGAGCTGGACGTACTACGAACGAAACCGTCGTACTTCAATCCTACTAGAGACGTTTTAACAACGAGTTGAACTGTCTAAGGACGTGTTTAGAACGAGGTAGAACTAATTGCAAACGGGTTTAAACTGATTAAGAACGTATTTAACACTGCTTATGAACGAGTTAGCAAAAATATAGCTATCACACCGAACAAGTTGCAACTGCGTTCTCCAAAACTGGTTTTAAACTGTGTGCGAACGGAATGAACGTAGCTGCAACTTTCTAAGGTCTATTTACGAACTTTATGAACGTTCTCAGACGGGACGTGATTTTAGAATTTTGAATCGATTCAAAATTCGATGGCGACCATGCCGTTCTGTAATCAGGTCATGTTGACCTTCTAGATTAAGGGACGCGTTCTACTACGTTGCACACCGACGAGGTGCGACCTGAACGAACTGCGAACGAGATGGACGTATTGAAGACTGTTTAAGAACGAAGAAGCTAATTATTTCAGACATATTTCCCGACCACAGCCAGATTGAGCCCGTTTTACGACGTTTTCGTAGGACTGGCAAGAACGGGTAAGAACTAGTTTGGTGTGATAGGGGGGTTAGCAAAACATGTCGTCCACAAATCTTTCTCTGGTAGACAGATTGTTTGTATGTTATGGCATTTAGTTGTGTTATCTCTTACAGTAAATTATTCATATTGGATCCGATGGGGGAATGCCACGCCCAGTTTTATATTGAATATAGACACATCTGGGGCCTCTGGTCGCAGAAAAGGATAAACTGGTGGGAATCTTAAAAGTTGTTTAAAATGTAAATAAAGTTATAAAAACATTGTCTAGCAAAGTCACTTAATGTGATTTTCCTTTAAAATATGGCATGAATTACAATTTGCAAATATATACCGTTACAAATGTATAAAAACAATATTTCTCAACATCGAATCGGTTTCCTAATAATCTGTTATTACCTAAGTAAATGGACTTCATTGCGAATTTATAATATGATCCAATATTACAAATACAAATGCATATCAGCTATCCAGGTGCAAACCCGTCTGTCTTTGAATCAAAGTAAGAATTAAAAGAAGGAATTCTGTAAAGACACAGTTGATTCAGTCATAGAACTAGGATTTCGTGTACTTTGTGAAACACGACCCACTTAACAATGTGATCCACAAATACAACCATCTACTTTATGAATAACAATTTTGATGGAATCTTCTTAGGTTGCATTTTCGGGTCACCCTGTAAATGGTTTGTGGAAATGATTTCTTTGTACCTTCGGGCTATAGCGTCATAACTGCTTCATTATTCGTTTGGAATAAATTCCCTTATACGAATATTAATGTAACATTTACAAATAAAATTCCCAAATTACAAATACAAATATGATGTATCAAATAAACAAACATATACTAGATTCGGGTGCATTTCATGTTTGTAAGGACTAGACATATTTGTAACTAACAATTTATTGTTCGCCAACTACAGCTTACAATTCGTAATTTCCAACAAAATTGCCTATTATTTTATCGAGGAGATGTATTTTTACCAATAATAATCGTGCATATTACCCATGAATTGTTGCAGAAAGCAAAGGAATATTCGTACATTAGCGAATGATAAAATGAAACTTTACGAATATAAATGTGAGTTTACGAATACAAATGTGAATTAACGAATATAAACTGCAAGTCTCGAGGCAAAGGTCACGTGACATGACATGTGTGGGGGAGGGGGTGATGATTTTGACCATGGGTTGACCATGTCTCGTTGAGAATGATCACGTGATCTTAATAAACCAATGAAAAACGAATATAAAAGTGCAATTTACGAATACAAATGACAATATTTACGAACAATAAATGTGCACTTTTACGAAAATATATTACCTTGTTACGAAAATAAATTCGACAATTAAAAAATAAAAATGCCAAGGCTAGTACTGATTCATTGATAAATTCGACATTTAGTTTGTAGATATCAAATTAATATATTTGCAGAAACAATGACAAAGGTACAAAATGAACTAATTTTATTTGTATACGGATAAACAATGTGTCACTAACAAATACGTTTAAGGATTTGAATGTATTTCAGTATAAAACACATACATATATACGTTTTAACGAAACAAAATAGATTAAGGAACAGAAAAGGCAAACAATGAATGAAAGTACTCAAGTTACAAACATAAATGTGCATTTAACAAGTACAGAAGTTCAATTTACTAATACATATAGTAAGATACGAATAATGAAGCAGAAAACATTCCATATCGGGCAGCTGTGAACTTTTATAAACAGAAAATACAATGGAATGTTTGTACAAAAAACGTGACATAACAATTATTTTATTGGTAAATACATCTTAATTCCAGTCGAATCGTCTGTTCAAAAATGTGAATAACCGTTCGTTGTGAGGTCGAAAATATTCTCTCAAAAATATCTTTTCCTGTTCAGTGACGTTCACGTGTGTGCGTCCCTTGGCGTCGGGATTTTGAGCACACTCCGTCATTCTTGGACCCTTTGTTTTATAGCAATAATATTTACCAGTTTTTCTTAGTAAAAATGAGTTTTCAGTAAAAAATGGATCGAGGCCTAAATAGCGTTCAATCTTTTGCATGGAAATCCAAGGAGAATTTACAAATTCGTTATGTTCTAGTACAAGAATATTCTCTTCTCCCAATAGCCTATACCAATTCTTCAAAAGATCCACGTATATAGTTCTCTTAATGGACCCAGAACGATCAGAATGTAGCATTTCCTGTTTAACCCATTGTAAAAATGGAGGAATGTCATTATGCTCGAGATATAACTGTGTATAATGTGATACTAATCTATCAACTGGATTTCGTATAATAAACATCAATTTCAGCCGCTTTGTCATTTGACTGATGTTTTCAACCAATCCCTGTGCACCCGAGATCATAAAACAGTTTGTGCATCGCGAGAATGCCCATTCATTTTCCTTACATTTTGGTAATCTTCTAAGATACCATTGAATACCGAAATTATATGCAAAAAACACTTGCAGGCCAACTGCTTCTTTAATGCTTGGATGTTCCTTTATAAAACTCTTCACTGTACCAGTGCCACATTTCATTACACCAGCAAGTAATACTATATTCGTGTCTATTGGCTTAGCATTTGAGAAATAATTAGTGAAATCTACTTCAGATTGGTTTACTGTTTTTGGATACATATTCATATGTTTCTTTCCGACGAACACATATCCGGGTCGGCCGTATTTTCTATGTCCTACGTCTTCAAACCCAACATTAATACGAGACTCGGATGGGGAATCATTGTCCCATGCAACATTGCGATATATATCCGGTTGGTTTTCTTGTGAATTCTGGGAATATTCTTGTTCGTATTCTTCTTCTTGGTCTCCTAATATTGTCAACATTTCGTACACAGCGTAGCTCATGAAAAGGAATCCAAATAAAGCTCCCGATAATATGTCCTTTCTTTTCATTGTCTCATAAAATAAATTTATGTTCAATATCTAAATCAAGTGCACGAATATGATGTACGAGATTCACCGATTAACAAATTATAATTCATTTCGATTGCATAAAGGCTGAACTTTAAATCTAGCACATGTGTGCATTTGTATTTTAATTTATGAAAAACAATATAATTCATTTATTCGTACGCCCAGAAGATGTCGATTACCATTAGAATTGCAATTATCATAATTAATCATTTCATTTAATCGCTTATAATATATTGTTTAAACATAGTCCCCATCAAAGGTCATTTCCAAACGATCGGCTATATTCCTTGACCTGCCAATGCCTATAGTTTGGTGGGATTCCGATTCAGAAAATACAGTTTAACCTGTCTTGTGAACATCTCTATCTCTCTAATGAACACATGTGTCGAGTGAACACCCCTTAAAGGCACATATACCACTAACATCTGTAAAAGATCAACTCTCTGTTGTGAACACATGCAGTGAACACATTTTTGTGGCTCCTTAGGTGTTCACTATACACAGGTCTTACTGTATTCGGGACATCGCGCTAATAGCATCAAAATAAATAATTACCAAATGAGAATTAACCTTTACCCTCAATGCACAAAATAAAGCATTGTTTTCAAAAAATAAATCGAGTTTTTGTTTTTCCCATTTGATTTGATTTGTTATTCTTTTCAAGTATGGTTGCTTTAATGTTGCCCGCCTCTAATCAAACACAACAGTTATTTCAGAAAAATTGAAATGCGCGGTCAACATCAACATCGAATGTTTCAAAAACCGCTAATTTACAGGGTGACACTAAACACGCAACCCATTATTTTAGGTTTCGTTGTTTTTTGTTTTTAAGATTTATTTACATTATTATTTCTTCATAAAATATCATTATCAATGACATTAATAATTTTGCCCCTTAACTATAGGTATCGATTCTTCATAATTCGAAAATACCAACTTTTTCAGCTTTTGACTTTCATGTACTGACAATCGGTTTATTTTTGCGTCGTTTTCACAATGTTCATGGGTTATCTTTTTATCGTTCGTGTCACCCTGTATTTCGGCCAATCTCTCGTGAAGTAAATCAATAAATTAAATCGATTAATAAAAAGCAATATGTTTGAAACTAGACTTCCGAGATCTGATAAATGCACTTAGCACGCCGTAATCAATGATTTAGTATCTTAGTTTTTTATGGAAAGTACAGAAAACAAGTAAATTCCTGCATTTCTAATCATCATAAATAAATACCAAATGCCAATACTAGTGGGTCTGTAAATATTCAACACAAAAGATTGGACATGTTCGACTTAGTTTAAAGTTCAAACGTGATGTTCATACAACAGTTACAATAGATTGATAAATATGCGCCGACGAGAGGTTATCTTAGTTTCAGGATTAACAATTATCATTGTCTTTTTGTATAGAATATTAACGCAAAAATGTGAACATGCCCACTCGGATCAAATGTTCTTAGCAAGATCGGATGATCGAATTTTCACATCAAATGACTCGAATTACATGGAGCCTCGTATGACTTTGAACGAAGATGATGTCAAAAACGCTGGCCTTGGTCGGATAGATAACCATGTTTATGCTCTTGAACGTATCAAAGAAATCGTCTCTAGTAACTCTAGAAACCTTACTAAAGAGGAACTCAAAACTTTAGAAAGAAGTAACAACTATAGACATTTTGGCGAAGAAGGATATTTATTTATGGATGACGGGACCGGTAAAAAAATTAGGTCCAAAAGCAATGAAACACAGATTGACGTTTCTGATTATTTCTCAAAAGTTGAAATTCGATCTACACGGATTGCACTTATTGCTGGTATAATGAAATGTGGTACGGGACCGATGAGTTCATTTCTCAAGAGACACCCTTCTGTAATAGACACAGTCGGTCTCCAAGTGTACTTCACTTATAACTTTGGTGTCCAGTGGTATTTAAAACGGCTCGCAAAGAGCAATGAAAGTCAAGTGCTTCTATCAAGATGTACCAACTGTTTTGCGACAAAAAGAGCACCGGCATTAATAAATATGATCCGTGAGGTCACAGTTAGGCATTTAAAGCTAATTTTCCTGGTAAGAAACCCAATTGACAGGCTAATTTCACACTATACCCAACTAGTGAGTGGCAACGCTAGTGTTCCGGAATTTGGCCAATGGGTACGTGAACTTCTTGCTGATCCCGATAACAGTCCTCCTTTGAGGAAAAGTAGATACGTGGAGCATTTTGAGACTTGGTACCATTTCTTCGAAGAAAACGATATACTCATTATAGACCATAGTGAATTTGTAAGGACGCCATGGCTGGCTATGCAAAAGATAGAAAAGTATTTGTCTCTGCAATCATTCTTTACAGAAGATTCTTTCTTACTCAGACAAACAGGCCCATATTATTGTTTTAAAACCAGAGGTCCAGATATGAGTGAATGCACTCAGAATCCAGAGAATAAAGGAAGGACACATGTCAGTGTGAGTGAACAAGATAAAGCATTGCTTCGAGACTATTTCCGTCCGTACAATGAACGATTGTTTAAATTACTCAACAAACGATTCGACTGGGTGTGAATGTAACGTTTTCTTTAGTTGCAACATAAATTAATTGAATCTGTAGGGGTTCTGAACTGAATTATAGTACATATGTATAGTCACCCCCGAGATACCATTCACAAAACCATGTAAATACTGCGCATTTACTCTTGTGTTTGACAAAACAACCAATTAATATTGAGATACACTAGCTTGCAACATCTAGATTCACTAGCTTGAACGATTACAGGGCATCACCGACGGATACCGAGTCAGATCCAGTCCCCATTGGCGGTAGGCTCAATAAAATAATGAGTAAATTCATTGAGCCTTGAGACCAATGGCAGGAGTCTGGCTGAGATCCGTGGTCTCACCTGTGAAATATAACAGAGAGGTGTGACAGTAGCCATTGTTACATGAGACAGTAGTAAAATGAATTGGGATATAAACCTGGCTAAATCGAAAGAGAAAGGGTAATCTCAGAGGATGTAATCACGTGACATTAACGCGCTTCTATGAATGAAGTCCGATAACAAAAATCTCTGATTTCCAGAAAATACTGGAGACATTCTAAAATTCCATGTTACAGTACGTTTCAATATGTAACATATTAAACCTATCAAATTATGATATGTATGTTTTTCTTTATATCGGGTGTCCAACAAAAGTGAGATACATTTTGTCAAGTATTTTTTCGGCAATAAATAAGCGAAATTCACTTAAAATTTAGTACAAAGTAGTCCAGGAATATCGTTAGCAAGTTACAAAAATATAAGAAAGATCGAGTTCATAGCATGTGAGTAATAAGAAATTCAAGATAGCATATCAAAAGATCCCATACCGGAGCAACAAAATAAGAACTTCATAGCGTTTGTACCACAAAAGGGGAACCAATTTGAGAAGTAATTTCTCAGCAATATATGAGCTAAAGGTCTTGAAAACTTTACTTGAAACACTTTCGGTTTTTTTAACTAGTGCTACGAATATGTAAAAAATTGGTTCCATATTATATGAGTATTAATGAATATAAGACAGTATATAAAAATAACCAATTACAATGTAAAAGTCACATGTATTAATCCATTCCATGCAAAAATACTTCTCTCTTCTCCTCCAATAAAGTTTGAGAATGAATGGATTTTGAATATTTTCGAACAATGAAACAAATTAATTGGCTATAACAAACAGACAAGCTATTTTGACTGATTGACAGATCCTATCACCTGATAGTTGGCACAAACACTATGAAGGTTTCATCGCAGAGCTCTGGTATGGGATTTTTTGACATGTTATTTTGAATTTCTTAGTACTCAATGTATTTGATCTTTCTTATATTTTTACAACTTGCTAATGATACTCTCAGGCTTCTTTGTTCACATTTTCTGTGAATTTTTTTTATCAATTTCTGAGAAAATACTTGTCAAACAGTGTCTCACTTTTTGGGACACCCGATATATTCAAATAATCAAAAAAGTGCAATCCAAGATTGACAGTTCAAAGGAAACGTGACCTAACAGAAGCGATTCACTTCGACTCTGTGAAGTTAACGATATTTTGCGAAAATATATTTCCCTTATTAGAGTTTCCCTTATCAACCATGCTTCTTTGTCTTATATATCAAGGCTTTACATTGTTCTTGTTGGCCAAAAAATGATAATGCATGCCGACCTACATGTAGTATATATTTGTGATTGTTGATTTATACATAAGAATTGTAACACAGATTAAAGAGTATAGGGATTATACCGTTAATAAAGAGGGCGGGGAAGTCAAGTCTTCCTTAAAGCAAAAGAATTGTTTGTTTTTTATTCATTATGCCCATCCACCTATAGCAAGGGACCACACGAAATACCCATTTTAGCAGTTTCTTCAATGTCCGATATCTCTGTATAACCCCCCTATCACACCAAACTAGCTCTTACCCGTTCTTGCCAGTCCTACGAAAACGTCGTAAAACGGGCTCAATCTGGCTGTGGTCGGGAAATATGTCTAAAATAATTAGCTAATTCGTTCATAGACAGTCTTCAATACGTCAATCTCATTCGCAGTTCGTTCAGGTCGTACCACGTAGGTGTGCAACGTCGTATAACGCGTACCTTAGTCTAGAAGGTCATTATGACCTGATTACAGAATGGTATGGTGGCCATCGAATTTTGAATCGATTCAAAATTCTAAATCACATTCCCCCTCCGGGATAGTCCATGAAGCTCGTAAGCAGACCGTAGAACGTTGTAGCTACGTTCATTCCGTTCGCACACAGTTTAAATCCAGTTATGAAGAACGCAGTGGCAGCTTGCTTGGTGTGATAGCTATATTTTTGCTTACTCCTTGATAAATACGTTCTTAATCAGTTTCAACCCGTTTGTAATTAGTTCTACCTCGTTCTCAATACGTCCTTAGACAGTTCAACCCGTTGTAAAAGCGTCCCTAGTAGGATTGAAGTACGACGGTTCCGTTCGTAGTACGTCCAGTTCGTCGTTAGTAGGTTGTCACTCGTTCTAATTGTAGAACGTGACGACCAAGAGAACATTTGGAGCATGTTAAGTTCTAGAGGACCTACCCGTTCGAGTACGTTCGATGAAGTTTGTAAATAGACCCCAAACGGTTCTAAGTATGTCCAGTACGTTCGTACACAGTTGAAGCCCGTTTTCGAGAACGTAGTGAGAACTAATTTAGTGTGATAGGACTTTGTGAGGGCATCCCTATTCAGCAGATTTAACACCCCAGACGTTTTCTCTTGGGTAATTTAAAGAGCCATGTTTATGCTTATCCCAAGCCAAGAGAACTTGAACTTGTAGTTCTCTTGGCTTGGGATAAAACATGGCTCTTTAAATTAAGGAAGTCTTGTAGAACAACTTCCGAAGAGAAATTCAAAACATTCCACCAGAAACATTATTTAATGTGATGGACAATGTGGCAGTAAGGATGCAGTCTGTCATCGAAATATAATGAGGTTGCATTGAACATGTGGTATAAAAAGAGTTAGAACATTAAAAGGGCAAGACTGGACTAAGAATGTTGTGTTGGGGCTGAAACTTATATGCATTGCCTAAATGACCATGCAAAAATATCTGAAAATATTGATTGGTTCATCTTCGCTGTTGATATACATTTGGGTACATTTTTGAGACACCCTATATTTTTCGGTGTTCAGGCTTAACTACATTTTATTTTGATAAAATGATACATGATAATTTTACTTCAAAGGTCCTTTCAATCCCAATCGAATCGTCTGTTTAACAATTTAAACAAGCGTTCATTATATACATGAAAATAATCTCGAAGAAGTTTTCTATCCTGTTCACTTACAGTGATGTGTGTCCTTCCTTTATGATCTAGATTCTGAGAGCATGCATCCATTTCACCTTTAGTCTTTATACAATAGTATTGGCTATTTTGACTGAGCATGAATTTGTCTTCTGTGAAGTATGAAACTAAGGATAAATAGTTTTCTACTTTTTGCATAACCAGCCATGGCGTCTTAACAAATTCTTTGTGATCAATGATAAGCATGTCATTTTCTTCAAATAAAGAGTACCAAGATTCAAAATGTTCAACGTAACGGCTTTTTTGTAAAAGGGAACTGTTGTATGGGTTCACTAGAATTTCCTGAACCCACTTCCCGAATGTTGCAACAGTAGCATTGTCACTTATGAGCTGTGTATAGTGGGATATAACTCTGTCAATTGGGTTTCTGACGATGAACAACATCTTAAAACGTTTCCCTGTGATCTCACGGATTACGTTTACCAAAGCAGGTGCTTTCTTTATTGCAAAACAATTCGTGCATCTTGAAAACAACCAATCGCTTTTTCCTTTCACGGTTGTTGGGAGCCTCTTTAAGTACCACTGAACACCAAAATTATACGTTAAGTACACTTGCAGATCAACAGTTTCTCTGACATCCGGGTGTCTGCTGAGAAGCGTTGTCATCGGGCCTGTTCCACATTTCATGACACCAGCCAGAAGGATAATTCTGGTCAGTCGAATCTCAACTTCTGAAAAGTAAGTTGAAAAATCTACTTCAGACTGGTTGACAGTTCTTGGATTCTGGTTCATCAGATTTCCACCATTCCTAATCATGGACTTGTCATCTAGTGTTTTCATCTCTACATTGCTTAATGCTCTTGACGTATTAATGGCGCCATATTGGATTTCGTTCATGCCATCTGTCATCTGGTCTTCTGCATCATCATTTAAAGAATACGGATCATTTGATCTTGAGAGTATAATTTTCTCCTCGTTTGAATGTCCACATCCTCCCATTAGAATTATGTACAGAAAGATGATAATTATACTAAAACTAGTTACAATAATAGCATCACCTCGTCTCATTCTTACTCTCAAATTGTTTACAACAGTTCATTAATCATTTTTTCGATACCTTTCATACTATTTGGCATTGGCAGCTGGTTAATGTTGAAAATTATAAACAAATTACACGTGTCATTTCTATAGGTTATCTGAAATTCGATCTTTAGAATCATGCTCCGCAAGAATTTATGACCATAACATTAGAATAAGTCTGAACTAAATTGTAACCCCAATTTTACCCATTGTGGTTGATAACGGGGTATTACTTTTTTCCCCAAAAGGAGATGTAGTGTTTGAGGACCTTTTATGGTCCAAGACCTTGTTACAGTAGACTCTTTAAATATTTCCTTTCAATCAGGAATCTGCAACTTGCTGTACAAGCTGAGAGTATATCTGAGAGGAATATCCCACAGGAATCTCAATCAGCTGATGTCTGAAGTGTATACCTCCCTTGCCACACAGTTCAAGGATAATTTCAAGAATGTATACCATGAGTGGGTCGCCAGGCAGCACCTGCGCATTGATGCTAAGGGTGCCTACTTTTAGCGCCTCATGAAGTCAGGCCCTTACCCAGTTTTTCCGGGTTTTCAAAACATTTCAGGGAGGTTCACATTTCACAACTTTGGCCTAAATCACTTGAAAACTTCTCAAAATTGTGAAGAGCTGCACGAAAGAATATTTGGTTGGCTCGACCCCCCCCCCCCCCCTTCTCCCTGCCCCCCCCCCCCCCCGTTCCCCCGGCCATGATCCTGTGATGTGAAGATGGATCAGGAAGTGACTCTTGAATGGATTATGTGAAAATGTAATGCATATTCTAAGAGATCCCACTTCCTCATTGAATCCAAAATGATTTTCACCCCAAAACACACTTTGGAATGTTTAACCTATTCTTTAACTCGCAGAACTCGGACTCACGACATGAATATAACATTTTGAAAAGAAAAAATATTCCTCGTGAATTTTCTTGCATTGATAGAGTGTTCAATGCTATTTCATTTATGTATCTATTCTTATCGAATGTAGATATATCGATTGAAATTGACCATTCTTACTACAACTATACAATATATATGTGACTGGCACATTGTTTGTATAATGAATCGCCACTAAATGATATATGCCACCCAATCTACTAGTAATCTCCAAATCAGGAGCGCTAATTACTTATATGCCAATACAAATTAATTATTCACCTTCATATTTTAAATGTTAAATTTTTCAATACTGAACAAGTGACTTTCACAGAGCTTCATCGTTAATTCTTTATCAGCTTACCACATCGCGACCTTTTATCCAAAACTATGGCGGTACAGATGATGAGTAAGTCCTCAAGAGTGAAAACCGATCTCTATGAAGAATTACCTTTTGAGTATGTAAACCCGTTTAACGCGATTGTAATTTACCGAACGGCAAAAGTAGAAAAAATCCGAACATTTTGAACTGATTAAGATCTTTAAATTGTGAAGGTCTGGGTACCTAAGTCGCTCGTATTTCTGTCGTATTTAAGTAATCATGTTGCCGATAATCAGTGCGCAGTGTTCATGGTGTTGTTGTAAAATGTGCATATATGTCGTTTGAAACCCTCTCTAACGCAATTTTATTATAAACTAACACCTTAGGGTTAAACTTTTGCTCGAGGAATTAACTCATTTTCAATATTAATCCATCAGGTTTTCTACTAGTAAACTAATTAACGTTTAAACCTCAGTCCATTGTCGTTATCACTTACTACTAAACCCAAGTGAGATATGGCTTGTCAGCACGAGCCAATAATTAAATGTCATATCTAATGCCCCACTTTATTACTTTTTTCTCGGGGGTTATTTGAAGGACCATTTTTTATGCTAAACCCAAGCTAAGAGACACAGAACAATTACTCAGATGTGAGTAGGTAGTTACCAGTTCCGTGGCTGATTCGGGGGAATTAACATGGCAGGATAATACAAAATCCCCTTAAACTTGAATAAGCATCAGTTTTAGTGGTTCACTTTTCATATTACCTTTATGTATCTGATAGTTATACAAATTAAAATATGTCCAGTAAAAGAAAATGTTATCTGCCCAACACAAGAAAAGATATTTCACTTTTTGTGGTTTTACAACATGGGGTCTATGGGGAATCTCCCCGACCTAGAAGTCACATTTTCAAAGAAAATTAAATTTTCAAAGTTGATGAACTCTTTTCAAAACCACATTTCTAAATGTAATTTTACATGTAGATTCCAAATATGACATCAGTTTGACTGAATTGTGAATTTTTAATGACGTAAATCAAGATTTTTTCTACTCGCATCTGGGATATTGAAGACCAGCCGAACAGAAATCAAACATTCCTCCAGAAATATCAAATGTGATAACAATGTAGCAGTAAGGATGCAGGCTGTCATCCAGATATGAGGTGACATTGATTCTGTGTTGTAAAAGGTAAAGGGTTTAAGTATCAAAAAGGCAAAACTAAATTAAAAACTGTGTATTGGTGAAAACACTTACATGTTTTGATAACAAGACCGTGCAAAAATATCTGAAATATCGATTTGTTTGTCTATGCTGTTGATATACTTTAAGGTACATTTTTGAGACACCCTATATAGCACATGCTATAGAGACATTGGTATATGTCTGCTAGGGTGGTCTGATACTTTCGGGACACCCTGTATTTAAAGGGAAATCACTTCCTAGGTGAAATTTTAAAAGATGGCAGCCTTTTGGTTATGAGCACTATATTTTTAAATGATCAATATTGACCATATCAAAACATTTTCCCATGTTTTGCTAAATATGGAAAGAACATATATATATATGGTTATGATTGCCATATAGGAAAGAATAAAATGGACAAGCGAGGAATATCACTTTAACGATTTCAGTATGAATTAAATGTTCAATATTCTTGTGGTTTTGTATTGGTTTAAAAAATAATGGGGAGTGTTAGTTCATTTTGCAAGTTTGATCATAATCTGGGGTATTGGGGCTTTGTTTTCCCAGTTTCCATACGCTCGGTTGTGCTCACAGGTGTTACTTTTTCTTGTCGTGTTTTGCTTTACGCTTTAGGCTTCCTCTTTATGACGCAGGTGCATAGGTGTTAGGGCGGTATGTTCACTTTATGTTCACTTGATGAAAATTCTTTCAATATCAGAATATTTTGGGCTTATATCATTCCTTGTCATGTCTATTTCTAAAAAATACCCAACACGTAAACTTTATTTGAGGAAAGCAAGATTTTTACAATAATGCCTTCAAATGTATATAAATGTGGTTACTATTTTAATTATTTGAAAGAAATTATGCATATTGCTTGCAATTTTGTCACCCCTAGCTATAGATTTGATTCTGCTTTTTAATAGTCTCGACAATTATTCTGTTCTTTGCGAAAAACTAAGAAACTAGTTTATACATTATTGTATATGTGTTTATATTTCGAATGAATGATAATACATTATAAATATTTGATATGGTGTTCTACAATAATGCATTTACGTCCGACAATGACGTCATGGTATAAAACACTGTTACCTACGTTTCTGGAATATTGAATAATTCCTCATTGAAGTAATATAGTTTAGTACTTTGAAACACATATTTAGGCCTATGTAGCGTTTTCAAATAATTTTCAGACTTAGTTTACCCAATATTCCTCTATATCTATGAGCAATGATATATTTAAACCTTAATTCGAACCCCCTCTCTTGAAAAAATAAGCGCTCAGGTGTGTTTTATCCCAATTATTTAAACTAACTTGCTTGACAAAGTCAATATTGTTAACAAATGCATCCCAGTGTTTGCAAGGAGAAGTACACATTGCTTTAATTTCTTCATTATATATAACCTTGTTGAATTCGTGATTAAGGAATTTACCGAGTTTTTCATACTCCCATTCAAAGTTTCTCTCGAGGTATTCTTGGGCAACAACGTAGATGTTTTCATACGTTCTGAGACCAGTCAAGGGTGTTTCCCATCGGGCTTTCTCTGTGTTGAGTCGCATACCAATATGCTTTCCTTCAACATTAAGTTTTCCTCCCATTTTATTTTCATTTGAGAAGAGATCAATTGCACTCTCTTTATAGAGAATTAATATTTTGGGATTGTTCATAGCATTGATGACATCACTTCCGTTTAATCTCATTCCTGAAATCTTTTCCATGGATAGTAATATGAAAGTTGATGTTTTGGGACATGCTTCACTTCCGAGAGACGTTAGTTCCCCTAGCAACGAGTTTTTATCCCTGTGACCCCGAAGATCCAATACTCTATCAAATAGACGCGTTTTCTTCATAAAATCTGGAATGTTGTCAATCATAGTGCAATAAGATGAACTAATGCAGACAACAGTATTTTTACAGTCTGGGGCCGGTTGAGGAGGATTACCCAGCACTATTTTGTTCCCACTTGAAGAAGTTTGACCATTATTGTCGGCATCTGATGACGTATCAATGGCGGGTCTATGCTGAGAATTGTCGGCCCCGACGTGATTGTGTTCTGCATAGCGGCGTTGTTCCGAATCCAAACTACTCCTCACTTCAGTCATAGGCCTCATCTGTGCTGCCTTCATAAACAGGAATGTGTATACTATCCACATTGCCCATGCTGCCAGGAGACAGACAAGACAGTTCCATATTGTAGTAAGCAATCCCATTTTCTTTTCTAAAAATATAAATCAAATTATTTTCTTCTCAGTATTTCATTTGATAATATTTGATGTTGCATTACTTAATAAAACATAACATGGTTAGAATATTAGAACCTTGCAATAAATGAGATTACGATAGAAAAATAATTTTTGGGACAAAAACATGTACATATATACTTTTACTTACGTCGTGAATCAAGATGGCTGCCAGTTGTGTCACATCAAAAATCAATGCCACGTTGTCAAGGTGACTGTCTCAAAACATTAAACCCTTGTTGATAATTGTTGACATCTGGTTGTCTAATCCTTGTGTTAGTTTGAATACCTTTTTCCATATGTTTATTCAGTTCTAAATTGATCGTACGAACGAGCAGTATTGATGTATAAAATACGTTTAGAAGTTAACATCAATTAACACTATGTTGGCATTGTCGATAACCCTTTGGTATTTATATAGTCAGGAGCATTTTTAACAATAAACATCTGAATTATGATGGTCTCGTTTCATACTTTATGGAATAACGGAGTATTTGCGAAGTTTTTGTTTTCTTTTGCAGTGATTTACGTCGTCTTTTTTCAGCTCTACAAATTTCATCAAGGTATGTATATATTTTTTTATTTTTTGACATGTAACGGTTGCATATTTTTAAAATGCCATTCAATCAATTAGTATAGCCCCTTATCTTTGTGATTCTATGCTTTGTGTAAATAACGAAACTAATACACATCAAATAACATGAATAAATGCAAAGACATTGAGTAAACCAATGGTATTACTAATAGATAGTCATCTACAATCTTTATAGAGTCATTGGACAATCATATTCATCATATGAAAATAATGAAATTAACACGAAATAATCACAAGCTATTCAATATTCATGCCTTTCCATTAAAAATACAAATGAAAATGACTAGGCAATTTGCATACGAATGCATAAAACTCAAATCTGACTGCCGGAGAAACATATATCTTGTTATTACTTATCTTGCATTCAAAATTCAACAATGCATACAGCTTGCTCTCTGAGCTTCCAAATAAATAGCTGCTATTATATCGGAGAAACCCAGAATTCTTGCTAATATACCTGTAGTACAGGATATTTTCTTTGTTCGAAACCCACCAGGAATAACTGCCCATATTCTTGGCTAACTGCCAATATCCCTGGTTACCTGCCCATATCCCCGGTCATAACAGTTGCAAAATTCCCGTTTTTTCATAAATTAGGAATAAGAAGAGTCCACATTTCATAGTTCATTACTTTAGGTCAATAGATTGGATTTATTGTGTCACCAAGAGTAGATCGAGAAACTGAGAATTTGTATCGTTATGTTTTGCTCCATACAAAATGCATTGCCAAAACATTCTGTAATACAATATGTGATTTGAGATCAAATGTACCAAAATATTTCCAAATGCTAATGAGGTTTTAATGCTTCTACAATTCAATGGCTGTTATTGATTTAGTACATTTATACATTGAACTTTAAAACGACTTACAATTTATAATTCCACTCATTGATATATCGTAACTATGATCCCTAAATAATGTAACTTTGAATTTCCAGCTTATCCTTTTCAGGTTCTAAAAAATTCAAATTTATCTCAAGTTCGGCTGTCATCTTTTTTGCAATTTTGCTTTCAATTTTATATTCAGTTTCATTTCTAAAAGTTTGCCCCGTGGGAACGCGTCTTCTTTTCATTTTTCTATTCTTTGAATCGGGATTTTTGATGTTTGGCTGATGTTTCCTAGCTAACTATAAGACTAAGGGTTTGAAGTATTGGTTTCAAGAGGGAACATACTGGGACAGATAACATTCGACTTACATATTTAGAACAGTGGTCCACATTCATACATTGTATGAAAGGAGCATCGACTTACATTTATTAGAATATTAAGTATACTTGTACAATGTACAACATGTACAATTTATAATTTACTAAAATGATGATAGTCAAAGTTTACCAGAATATGGTATATTGAAAACGTTTTAAAACAATTATCATTATTGTTTTTCCCATTTTGTTTTCCGCATTAAAAAAACATCTCCTATCATATGTCGTATTTTAAGGTCAGGGAATAATTGTAGAAACGCTGACACTAAAAGAGCATCTCGTGTTTTTGAATATTGTTTCATAGATTAAAGGAATTTTAGTCCATGTATGACTATGGGATATTCAGAATCAGTTGTACAATATAGGGCAGCAACATTTGAACCAATATCTAAGGAGGTTCATATGTCTTGATTCTTTTGAATTCAAAAATACCGTTTGCTGATGTTTTGGGACATGGTCCACTTCCTAGTAACGTTAATTCCCCTAGCAATATCAAGGGGGAAATAATTTTAGCCGTAGCCACAATTAGTCAAGGAATATCAATAAGTTCTCCTTTATTGATAGTTGACCCCTGACAATGACAGATTTATTGATACCATTTACATCACCAATATTGAAGGAACAATTCAAAACGTTGATGTACAGATTGCGTAATTTGTTTGTATATTCAATAATACGGACATAACTGTTGTATTACATACTTTTATATCATGGCTACGTTATATCAATGACGCCACGTGTCTGTGTGCGAGTAAAATTAGGAAGAAATGAAACATGACGTCCCGATGACGTCATAAGATTGTCAAGGTAAAAGGTTTGGCGGCTATACAGGAATATATAGCCAACCTTTAGCTCCATTGACTTCAATACAAATGCTTCGCTGGGTATGTAATACCGTCAAATATAGCTGATCATGAGAAATCTTCAACGTACATTCAAAATTGATTTCATAAGTTTTCTGTAGCAGTATCTACTTCAAATTGTAAAAAAGGGATTTAGTTTTTACTTATTTTTTCCCCTGCTAATGACACGCATAATTCAGCCCAAAAGCCCGAAAAATATTGAAAGGCTATAATAATAGTAGGGTCTGGGGTTTACCTGCTAATATCAGTGTTTTTCATCTGAAGCCCCGATAATTCATATTAGGCTGGCTCATATTTTGTAAAATACTATCAAATAGGTCTACTTTTGCCGTATGTTTTTCAACTTTGTACTAATTAAAAAACATGTAGGCTATATCATTGGATATCATGATAAAGAAAGGTGTACGAAATATGCCTACTCCATTTTAAACATTACATCGAAGCGTAGTATTTAGAAACTAGCTGGTGACAATTCAAACTAAACGATTGTGGCAAGCAAGAGACGTAATCATGGCTCCTCTTGGCAAAAGAGGAAACGATGCGTAGTAATATATTGGACCTTCAATTGACCTCAATTCTATGATTTATTGCAAATATGACCTCAGATTTCATTCTGGACATTAACAAAGACCTCAGTTATATTCTATTCAGTTCTATTAAAAGTATTACAAGTTAAAAAAATCGTTGACATACATTTTGCGCATTATTTTAAAACTACGTCATGACCATGACTTGTGCTTGAATAATAGCAATGTAGTGATTTAAAATAGCAATTTTGGGCTGCTTTAAACTGCTGCTATGTAATGTATTCGATCTTACACTTGAAACTTAGTATTTTGCATCAATGTAATTCCTCAAATAAATTATAACATCATGCTTTGTCATAAAAATCTAGCATACTATTTTGTCTCGAGAATATAACATGTGTTTAAGCCCTGGACTCAGTACTTTGTGAACTGAATCATTCCTCCAAGGTGTTGTTTCAAACTTTGCAACACACTTGAAATTTTAAAATTGATGTAATATAAAAGTGACCTTGGGTGGGTTGTTAGTTATATAACGCAATGAAGTTATCAAACTGTACATGTATATGGAATACTTTGTTCTGAGTGGCTAGAATTGGACACACCTTGCCTAGCTAAGTGTGAATTACTTATTAAGATCGATAATACTTGAAAGTGTCCAAATATTGAATAATTGACCATGCTAAGTAATGTTTAATTAATATAGAAGTATAGTATAATTATTCTTGGGCTTCATTGTAAGGTAAAATAAATAAAAATCATTGGTCAAAAGCAAGCACCCTAATTGTAGGTATGCGATGTGTAGTACGTGCGGATGCATCCACGATGATAATGACAGTAACTTATGTTTTAATGATATCATTGTTTTACATTTTAATAGGCAATCTGCTGGACTCCGAAGGTTATGAGATAACAGAGAGACTATCTGAAATAAATGACAATATCACTACAAGACTTGAAGAAAATGTTAACAGCAATAATACACCGACAATAAAATTAACAACAAGAACAACAACAGAATCGTTTACTACTACAACAAAATTTGTTGAAGATGAAAACTTAAGTTTCCTCACTCAAGACAACATTAGGGATTACATAAAATATACTGAAAAAGATCCTGCCAAGTATAAAGAACTTAAAAAACGGTGTGCCAAAAGGAAATTTTCTTCAAAAATATTGCCTTTTACCGCATTGGCAAGTGTACAGGGCTCAGGAAATACATTTACAAGGTTCCTCGTAGAATGTATAACGGGTATGGACATTATTCAAGAACATGTCGTTAGCATCGTCTCTATCACAAGTTAACTATTGAAAAGGCATTCTCATGATATGCCATAATACTTTTTCCTATCTGCTATGTTTATATAACACAAACGACGATTTGTTTCAAGCGTACTAATGAAATGCTAAATGAGATTGGAGGATGTTTTACAGGAAATCTTAAACGATCAGAATTTCTTTTTAGGTCACATGTTCCTTCATTCCCTTACTGAATCAATGCTGAAATATCGATTTTGGGATTGTAAGGATTTTGTTCTTTAGACAGTCGTCATTTCTTCAACTTGTTAATTCTTAACCATCTTACAATTTTGTTTAGGCATACATAGCGGAACAACACACTTTGATGGAAAGCTCCACGCGGCTGGCTTCATGGGCGAGGGTGTCATCAATGGCTCGACTGTTGTCATAAAATCTCACCAGATTGGATTTAGTCCCTCAGAGAAGTTTGACCGTGGAATCATGGTCATTAGAAACCCGTATCGAATGATATTAGCTGAGTGGAATAGGAGACACAGTGGTGGTCACATTTCTCATGCGCGTCCTGAACGTTTTAAGACTGAAGGTACGTAATCGTGAAGAGTGAAACCCTTCGTTTGTCCAAATTTCCACCGTCTAGTTTCCGAATACCATACATCGATGTGATGTTTTAATCAATTCTTTCTTCATCTTGACTTGTAATAACAAGCTATAATATTAGTAAATACAGGGTGAGCCAAAACGAGGTATACCAAACAAATTTTAATAACTCAGTCATCTGGTATGGGTTTTAAATCGTATTTGGCACAATTGTTCAAGGTTCTTTCATTTCACCAAGTTTCATTGCTCTATTATTATTGGTCAAGATTTTATGTCCATTTTACCAAACATGCTCAAAATCCCGATCTTGTCTTTACCCTACTATCACACCAAACTAGTTTTCACTACGTTCTCGAAAACGGGCTTCAACTGTGTACGAACGGACTGGACGTACTTAGAACCGTTTGGGGTCGATTTACAAACTATATCGAACGTACTCGAACGGGTAGGTCTTCTAGAACTTAGAACATGCTCAAAATGTTCTCGTGGTCGATACGTTCTACAATTAAAACGAGAGACAACGTACTAACGACGAGCTGGACGTACTACGAACGGAACCGTCGTACTTCAATCCTACTAGGGACGTTTTAACAACGAGTTGAACTGTCTGATGACGTATTGAGAACGAGGTAGAACTAATTGCAAACGGGTTTAAACTGATTAAGAACGTAGTTTAGACTGCTTATGAACGAGTGAGCAAAAATATAGCTATCACACCAAACAAGTTGCCACTGCGTTCTTCAAAACTGGTTTTAAACTGTGTGCGAACGGAATGAACGTAGCTGCAACTTTCTAAGGTCTATTTACGAACTTCATGAACGTTCTCAGATTTTAGAATTTTGAATCGATTCAAAATTCGATGGCGACCATACCGTTCTGTAATCAGGTCATAATGACCTTCTAGACTAAGGGACGCGTTATACGACGTTGCACACCGACCTGGTGCGACCTGGACGAACTGCGAATGAGATGGACGTATTGAAGACTGTTTATGAACGAAGTAGCTAATTATTTTAGACATATTTCCCGACCACAACCAGATTGAGCCCGTTTTACGACATTTTCGTAGGACTGGCAAGAACGGGTAAGAACTAGTTTGGTGTGATAGGGGGGTAAGAGACAAACTTGAACGCATCGGGTGGAGATTTTTTACTACACGCTCACAGATATCTTGTTTAATGACTCTCATTTTTCAACTATCTGATGCTTCTAGTGTATATATCATCTTTGAAATAGCCCCAACGATAACAATTTGGGAGTTCATATTGGGTGATTTTGGTATGTTTTTGGCATTTGGAGCATGTTTTGTAAAATGGCCATGAAATCACGACCATTCTCAATAGACCATTGCAACTAAATTACCTACTTACTAATATGAAAGTTTGTTTGGGTTACCTTTTTGGCTCACCCTCTACGCCAGAAATTTACATCTTATTTACATTTTATTCATGCATGAATCCGCCATTTTGTTTTCGTTAGCTCTTATATCGGATGTCCCAAAAAAGTGAATCGCTCTCTGACAAGTGTTTTCTCAGCAATTGATCACTCAAATGTATTGAAAATTTGTATACAATAGCCTTAGGGTATAATTGGCATGTTTTACAATATGAAAGAAGTTGATTTCATATTATGTGAGAATTGACAATTTCAAAAATGCAAGTCAAAAATCCAATATCAATGGAAAAGCCACTTATTTCAGTCTGCATGGTGATACTTTCTTCCAAGCAAAAATGCATTTGTGTATTTTTCCTTAGATATCGCCTCTCATAACATAATTATCCCGTCATTCAAAGCATGTTGGATGTAGTGCATTTTTTTCATTAGTCTATTTACAGTAATAACTTACCCTTTATTCCTTTATGATTGATCTTCCACCCAAACCTTTCACCTTGAAACAGTTTTCAATAGTAGCCTTATCGCGTATCAAATAAACTGAAATTTTGAACAGAACGTATTTTGGAATACATATGACAGCTTGAATCACCTGACAACAGGCACAGACGCTATGAAGGTCTCGTTGGGCAGCTCTGATATTGGATTTTTTGACATGCATTTTTGAATTTGTCAAAAAGCGATTCACTTTTTGGGACACATACAATGTGTATGAATATTAATCTAAAAATGGCAAATAATTGTGGGAGCTTCTAATTCCTGCCCGTAATGCTAATATGTGTACCGGCCATTTTGAAGAAAAAAATCGAAAGTTTTACCTATTAGAATTTTAGATGAAATATTGCTTTAATTTACAATACATCTACAAGTAATATTTCTTTGTTTTTTAGAAGACACGTGGAGGGCCCATGTAATAGCATTCACTGAGAAATGGCTTCTATTTGCTTTACAATGGATAATTAGTTTCGAAAAGGAGCTCTTAATTCTCGTGTATGAGAACATGGTTAATGATACCGTTCGAACATTACGACAATTACATGAATTCCTCACAGTCAAAGAGGGTATAAAGGAGGGTAGTTTAAAAAGACTTCCATGCGCGTTCATTGATAATACGTCGGGCTTTCAACGGCCAGCTGTTAACTATGGAATTGATCCCTTTACTCCAAGAGAGAGACGGCGTATAAATGAATACATGGAAGCTGTCTGTGACGTATACAAAACCCGAACTCACGACACAGAATGTGCTTTCAAATATAATGTAGAAACAATTTAAAGGATATGTATCGATATAGTGAACTGAATTCAACAATGTTTTTCTCTTTAACCAATTATTGAAAATATTCTGTAAAAAACACGACCCTGTATGTAATGTTGACTGATTGACGACGTTCAATGCGAAAATAATTTATATATATTTTATATAACTGTTTTTGTTAACATTTTTTGTTTTTTTAGTGTAATTGTTTTTTCTACCATTTCTTGAGAATGAAATAAAATGTCTCCGAACTTTATTGGAACAAAATAGCATATACAACATTTTCTTAGACCTATTAACATTATAGTTACGCAAAAGACAAAGGAAATTTTGGTTGATTTAACAAAGTATTGAAAAAATTAAACCAACCCCCCCCCCCCCCCCCCCCCCATAGATACACTCTTAAAAATGAATTACTTGAGTATTTCCCAAGTATTTCCCAAGTATAAAAATTACTTAAAGTTAAATACTTAGTTTTACTTCGGTTTAACTTATATTGTCATTTTGAGTTTTTTAAATGCTTAATTATGTAAATGAGTATTACAATTACTACAGTAAGTATTTCAATTTCTCTCCTTGCATTAGTAAATTCACCATAAATGAATTACTTAAAAATTATTCAGTAGTTCAAGATTATTTAAGTAATTTTTGACTTAAAATGAGTAGTACAATTTCTCAATATAAGGAAATCCAAGTAATAATTTTAAGAGTGTAAGAATTAAGATAAACCTTTTATCTCATTAACAAGATGCTTTTTTAAAATCAACCAGACTTTTTTTCCTTTGTACAAGTACAATATTGTGAAGCCTAAACACGTTGTGTTTATGTCGTTTTGTTCCAATGAGGTTCGGATAGATGTTACATTTCATTCCGAACATATGATTCCAAGAACAAAAGAAGTGTCTGATGTGTTTTCTAAAACAATATAGAGAAAAGTATACATATTTTTAATTATATTGTTACCATTCAAAAGATGACCATTTAATTGACGATATGTAAAATTATCAGAATTTTTGATGACTGGTTTGAGAGAAACATGTGTTCAAAAAGTTCACCATATCGATACCAATCCTTTCCAGTTTGTTCAATTTATATCAATGACCGAATCGTTTGTAATACTACCGAATGTGCCACATATATTTAGGGCATTTACTTTAAAGAGAGGGAGCGAGCTATCCATGTCAAATTGTATGATTTTGGACGTTTTTCCACATTTCATTTAAAAAATGAAAGTTATTCCAATTACATTTAGATTTCAATTATCGCAGCACCTTCTAATTACAAACTGCATATTACTATTCCGTGAGCGTTGCTGTGTAATGTGTACCGTTGCAGTAACGACTATAGTAAGCAATGGTTATGAACATTTGATTATGTTACTTGATGACTCCGTTTTTTCTATTGTGAGAACGGGTTACACGCATCCTTTTATTTTGGCAAACCTCCTGTATCGGCATATTGATAAAAGGTTACTAGAAGTTGACGACTACCATCATATCGTTCTGTCTTGCATCGCAACGCTATTACCACATACACAATTATTTTTCAGAGGGTACTTAACGAAGTATCTATTAGTCAGAAGACAATGTATATACAGTAGTCCAACAACCATACGAATAACGGATACTAAAATATATGTTTGAGCAATCTGGATTGTAAATGTCATTTCAAAGAAAGTCAAAAGGCAAAATAATATTGCCGAATATATTCTCAAAGACTAATAGTTTATCATTGACGCAATGTTTAAATGTCTTATATTAAGACACTTTATATTGTAAATATAAAACCAATATAACATAATAATAATTCATTGTTCGTGTACAACTAATATCTAATGTAAGTCGAAATGAATAATGATAAAAACTGAGAATTTGTATGAATTGAACACATTTGAGAATAAAATTGAACAAATCACAGTTGTTGTTTTTCATATCCAACAAAAATTATAATAGTATGCACTACTACGCATAATCAACATATACCTGGAATCAGGATTTTGAGACTGGAATGTGCATCCAACGAGTCATGCGTCCTTTTGGCTTAAGTGATAGTCCATGGTACGACTACGGAATGTGAAAAATCTGTAGCACAATACAGCGAGCAACATTTGAACAAATTTTTAAAGAGGTCCATATGTCTTGATTCTTTTAAAATAACGTTTGCTGAAAAAAAACTTTGGGCTTTTGACTTGAAATATTGATTATAATTTCAATGTAATTTTCAGTGGTTAATTAGTGTAATCACATAAATGTGCTTGTTTTTTGTTTAATATTTCAAATATTGGCCAATCAGATTAAACAAAATTGTGTGAATTATTAATAAAGTCATAGTCTTGCTTAAAAGACCCTGTACTCCCCCCCCCCCTTTCCTTCTCTCTAGGGTCTTGTAACCACCAGTAAGTTGACACTGATATGAATTATTCATGCTAGATGGTTATCTCGTAACACCTTTTGATCAGCCAATCAGATTCTTTGTTGTTCTTAGAGCAGCACATGGCTATTGCCTCTTCACTGCCAAGAAAATAGTTCCTCATACTTACACTTATATTTCCATGATTTTATCTTGTGTACAGAAATACTTTTCTAAACTTAAGTCCCTCTCTTAACAAAGGTTTAAAAGCATAAAATAAAAAATATTACTAACTAAAACTCACTACAAGAAAGCATGTCTGGTTAGTGGTGTATTGATATATAAAATAGTTCCAACCTCATTAATAATTCATGATTTCCGGATCCGTTTAGGAAGGTGGCAGCACCTGCATAAAATCAGTGGTTACAAGACTGTATATTACCAGGTAAAGAGAGTGAAGGTGACGGGGGTGGATACAGTCTTTTGAGCAAGACTAATAAATTCATAATTTCAAACAAATTAGATTTTTACTACTTGGAAGTTTTATTTAAAGAATTCAAAAATTCATCCCTATCATCGCCAGGAGTCAAACAAGAAATAATTGCCTGTGTTTTATAAAACATAAAACAATGACAAATATGTAAAATATATATCTATTTGAATGTTGTGGAGGTATTGAAACGTTTATATATTCAGCGAGCATGTGAAAAAGTCTATCAGAGACATATGCAATCAAACGCCTTATATTCCTCTATCCACGTTACTGCTGCATACCATCACCGGGTAATACAAACACCTAAATATTTTATTTTTGGGCTTACCCCAAAGATTAACATAATTTCATGTTGGAGAGGTGACGTTTATTGTATTTTACTTACTCCTTATATTGTTTATAAGGTATCCTTATAGTACATATAGTTCTCCTTATATTATATTTAAGTTCTCCTTATAGTATATATAAGTTCTGGAGCATACGTTAACCTTTTATATGATTCATTATATCATATCCATTACATATAACTTATAGAGTATACTTTAGCCTTATCACGAGGAGAAATTATATTGTCTTTACCTTGCAAACGGGTTTATCTGTAGCTAATACCATGGTGGATGTATTCCATATGCCAAACATGTTTATTCGTAGGTTATTTGTGTGTATACAGTATGTAATAAATTGTAATATTGTAAACGTTCTGTTGTGTAGTTCTTTGCCGATATAACTGATGGTGAAATATTTTTAGACATTACTACTAGCTATATAATAATCACATTTTTGGTGAAAATCAAAACCTTTTTTCTAAATGTTTTATGTATTCGACCAGGTCTTGGTGATTGTTTTATAAACAACAGCAATATCTACCTAGAGGCAAAATAATTTAAGCCGTAACCAGAGTCAGTCAAGGAAGCGCAATAAATCCTTATTTATTGATAGTTGACCCCTGACGATGACAGTCCACATCTCAATACGTATTAAGACCCATTTTTCAATTTCATTTTTAGCATATGTCATTTTTATGCAAAACGATGCGTTGATACCATTAACATCATCAATATTGAAGAACCAATTCAAAATGTTGATGTGCTGATTGCGTAACTTGGTTGTATTTTGTTGAGAAACCCAAAACATGCACTCAAAATCTATTTCATATAATTTTCTGTATTTTTGACCCCTGCTAATGACACACATATATCAGCCCAAAAGCCCGAAGAACATTGAATAGCCATAATAAAAAAACAACACTGCACATGTGTAGGTATGTCAATATTAGATCAAATATCGCTGCGCTATATTGTGTTACCAACTCCTTTATTAGGCATCCTAGGAATTTCATACCATGGACTATGATTATCAAACACAGGATCCTCTACCAAGTTACAAGTACCATTAATTATCATCAGATCATATGATCTTGAATTACCTGATCATGTAGCAGGGGCATTGGGATGGACTCTAAAAAGTGGGCATAGTACATTTATTTTTGGCTACTTTACAAACACCCTCCACGAGAGAATTACCAGCGTCAATTTCTTCGTAAATATCTATCTTTTAGATATGTTTACCGGTGCATTGATCTTTTAGATAATACGAAAGCCTTTGATTCAGGAATGAATTCACAATGAAATTGTATTATCTAATACGGTTGGATTCGATCAAAACTTACCCATTTGGCTCCAATGACACTGTTGTAAACAAATCCACATAGTACAATGTATAATACAATAGGTAACGGGAAGTATAAAACGAGACAGGAATATACATCAGGGTTGCTCACTTTCTCTAATTTATATGTTACTGTAAAATGCGTTTATTAAAATGTTAAGCAAAATCATAACTACAACAGCACTCTGATGATGCAACACGAGTGTTACTTCACAATATGGTATCCTGGCATGTGACCTAATTCTGTACTAGCAACATTCTCCTAGTTTAACATTAATACGACTAAAACCGAGCCTGACGGATGAAATGTAACAGATCGATTCTAGTTATAAATTATTAGTTGTGACTAGCATTATATTTTAAACCTACATCTATTTATGCTTGGTGGTCTCTAAAATGCATACAATGGTGTACAGTCAAAATCGTTGTATCTAGTCTGTAATGCCTGGCATATTTCTTCTAAATATCCGTCTAGCCTTAGTTCAGTCTCTTTATTAAAGGGATATAATTCAGTCATATTCTTCTTTTTCTTGAGTGAATTTTTGTGATTATGAATACAGTCTAAAAGAGATTCATCAGCAGTGAAACCTAAATACTGGGCAAGTTTTCTTAGTTCAGATTTGAGATCATTCATGAGGTTGTCATAGAGAACTATGTAGAGTGGTTCACTGATTTGAATCCATTCCGTGTTGTGATTGAGCCAATCGTCTCCGTATATCATGGTAAACCTCTCCCAGTCTGAAAAGAATATTAAAGATTAAGCAAATAGTTCATCAGTTCTTATGGAGATTGAAGGCAATACCGTTTCGTTACAGTTCAAGTGTAAAACTGCAACTTGCGGATTACAATAAGACACTGTTTTTTTCAAGTTGGTCTGTGATTTGAGATAATTTGGGTTTGATTTCCTTAACACCGGTTGACTCTTAGATATTTTCTTGTTGTGTTCTGTAACCATTTTTGGTGATTTCCCGTCGGCTCTTGGGCTTTCATATTTAGAATTGTAATGCCTGTTTGACCGATATACAGGGTGGCCAAAAAGCCAACTCCTTTAGAAATATTACGAGACAAAGGCATCAATTCAAAATACCACCGTTTAAGATGATTTAATTTACTTTGAGAGATACGTGAGCTCAAGGAGCACACGCGGCCCTCCCCAAGCCCAAAGTAAAAACAGGGCGCTCTGGATCACTTGGTCAACACTGTGATTCACATAAAAATTCTCATTATAAAGGGGCAATAGAAACAGAAACAAGGGATTTTAAAAGGGATTTCAACATTATAGTCATTACCATCACGGTCTAGGAAAAACGACTTTCGAGTTTCGATTTTCTATCAACAGCATAAATCGTACAAACGGTTAATTTTAAATTGCTAATGGCACAACTTCTTACCTTCATCTTTAAACATTTCTCTCGAACCCCTATTAAAACTCCAATAGTGTCTTCTCTTTTGCTCAGCTATCATTGCAGATTTAACATTGCGTAGTATCAACACTGCCTTGTCAAACTGGAACTTCTTGTATGGTAGCATGTGAGTCTTCACAACAACCACCGAGCCGTTTGTCAAGCCCTCGCCGGGGTATCCTGCTTGCTTCATCCAGGACGCTTTATACACACTCCCAGTAGCAATACCTGCAATATCATATAACATTTCCTTAGGGAATAGGCGTGCATTGACACTTTGGTGCGAACATGTATGGAATATAAAAAAAAGTTAAACTGTCGTCTTTCTTATTAAAAGGTTGGGTTCCTTCGCCAATAAGTGACGTCTCGAAAATGAATTATCACTAACGTTCCAACAAATGCCCTCTACAAATCACAAACAGTTTAAATGAGGATCAATGATAACTGCGTCTTTGACATGAATGCCAATTTTAATGTTCGTGGACACAGTGTTGAAGACAAGTGCATTAATTTGGAGGTTACATCCGAAACAAACCTGTCAATTGCTGTATTAGAAACCTTGTCCATGTATTCCCAGATCCTGGTGAACTAGACAATGCTGTAATTGGTAATGGATCATCAGATAGTCCCACAGGTCTGCACGGTGACATTATACCATAGCCCTTCCCTTTGTCGCCATCAGAGTCAACGTCACTTCCGGTATCGCGAGAAACTGAATCTAACGTGTAGCCTCTATCATCAACAAGGACTAGAAATAGTAATAAATAAATCGGAATTTTCATTTTCAATTGAAGTGTATACTACTGCAATTTGGGACAGTCGCGTCTTTTTATTGCCATCGGGAGAACGTTTCTAGGGGTGTTTAGAATCGATTGAGGTAAGAAATACATGCATAGCTAGATTTGGAATGTAATGTAGTCGTTAATTTAACCCTTGCAATGAGATAAATCTAATTATCTAAGGTAGTGTACAGAAAGACAGTGTCCACCCCCCCCCCCCATCACCTCTATCCCATCACATTTCAGGAACTTGCAATCTAAGAATAGTTTACACTAGATGTTAATAATTTATGGTATAATGCATATGGCAAGTATTACCTTCAGTTCGTATTGTTATGATCACCCAGTATAATCCTAATATGATTAAGATGCTCAGACAAATCTTCTTTAAAATTCCAACTACGATGTTATTGGACCTGAAAAATGTTGGTCTTATCATTTTTAGATTATTTTGCATATCAAAGGCAGACTCGGCAATAGTAGTTGTATATTATAAAATGATAAGATCTCAAATCAATATTATTTATGTGCTGATCGAAGAGGTGAATTCATTTAGTGTTGACCAGATGGCCCCACTTCTTACATGTAGTATTTCAAACTGTGTCTGCTCCATGTTGATGGCCCATTGGATTTTGTTGATCCAGTACCTATCCTCATTTTTGATTAAATAACAAAATCTGAATTTATTTTTTCCTTGATATAATTATTTCATCATCCGATGTAACATTGACAACTATATAGAATTATTCATTGGACAAACTTTTCTTATGTTTTCAATTAATTTTATTTGACCTAATTAATCCTTGATTCAAATATGTAAACGATTTTATTAAAAGGCTCGAGTGTATCAGTTCAAAGTGTAAGCGCTTACTCTCCATTCGTACATTAGCATTATGCTCAGTGATTTATTGATGTATCCAAATGCTAAAGGGTAACGACATATTTGTTATTTAATTCAATTCCATTCAGTTTCGATTTTAACCATTGTTTTCAAATGTTGAAATTATTCACATAATTATTGAACATATGGGACTGAGTGTAAAGGTTACTCGATGTGTTAAATTTAAAATTACACAAATTCAACATGGCGATTTCCTGCGTAGGGGTGGGTGATATTCATTTTTACATTTTTCCTACAATTCAATTCAACCATCTAATAATTCTTATCTTTGGGATTTATCCTACGAAAGTATTTAAAACAACCAAGCACATATTCACTCAAATGTTATTTATATCAAAGCAAAATATATTTGTGTTTTAGATATTGAAGCGGATCATCACAATCAATATACTTGTCGGTGTTGTATTTTTCTTGAACTATAAACTAACTGAAAGAGAGCGCGGCCAGACTTTAACGTACAGCTTTCAATCTCCAGCCATCGTTGAGAACGATGTTGCAGACGTTGATTATTACCAAGACGACAACGATGACAAAAACAGAGCTCACGCTGTAGATATGGTCGCACCTCCAAAGGACGACAACAAGACGATGCTCATTCTAATACAATCCTGGTGGGAGCATGAAAATTACAAAACTGGTTCTACTCAATTTCAGGAGTGCGAGGAAACTCGTTGTGATATTACGATGGATAAGTCAAGAATCCGCGAAGCAGATGCTCTTGTGTTCTTAGGCCAATCTTACAATTTTGTCAAAGGAGATATTCCAACTTATAGGAGACCAGATCAGAAATGGATTTTTGTAACACGGGAAGCTCCATTGCGTGGATATTTCGTTAATAGTAACCACGCGGTACTACGCCACGCGATAAACTTGACCGCCACCTATCGAGCAGATGCTGATATACAATGGCCGTATGGGTATTATCTACCACGGACCACACCATATATACAGAAACCTTTACAAAGAAAAGATCCTAAAAATGCTATCACTTGGTTGATAAGTCATTGTAGAGCAAATTCACAAAGGATGTCATACATTTTAGATCTACAGAGATATATAAACGTTGATATTTACGGACGATGTGGACCATATGGTTGTCCAGAGACAGGCTCATGTGTTGAGTATTTAGGTATGTACAATTCATTCTTAATTTCATATAATTTTACAGAAACTTTCTGTACCTCTAAAGCTTGATGGCGTCAATGTCGTTTATCTATAAATTAAATGAAGGTCAAAATTAATCAAAAATGCATAATATATCCTTCTTGGTGTTCTCGGTATATTCATGTTTTCTTTATAGGGCATAAAAAATATGTTGAAAGAATCTGGATAGAATCTAGATTCACAAAATCAGTGTTCAATAACAGTTTTGAAAAATCAAGCTGAAGTATCTACTTGTGTCATTAGTATATGACAATTAAAATCAAATGATTAGGGACAGAACAATCAAATAAATGGTAGACATACTAGTTTTTACATAAGTAGGTAGTCATGTCAATCAAGCTTTTACTCTATATTTTCAGCAAGCAAGTACAGCTTCTACATCGCATTTGAGAATACTGATTGTGAGGACTATATAACAGAGAAGGTATGGGAGAATGCCTTAAATACAGGAATGGTACCGATCGTGCGTGGTACCAAAACAGACTTCTCCAAGTTTCTACCTCCAAATTCTTTCATCCATGCTGAATCATTCGGTACAGCGGAATACCTCGCTAAATATATTAAATATTTAATTGACACACCGTCAGAATATGCTAAATATTTTGAATGGAAGAAGTCGTATGAGACATTTTTAGGTGGCCAAATGGTGTTTCGGTGTAATATGTGTAAGGTCCTACATGAAACGAGATACGAACAAAGAATAGCAGATTTAGACAAAGCTTGGAATGCAGAAAGACAGTGTTTCAAATACCATGCTGAGTTAGAAAAAGAATTAGGATTACCATGATCCATATTAACTTGGGTCTTAAAAACAAATAGCTTAAAAATGTTAAAAGCAGCACTAATACTTTTCCCTATGGGAGAACTAAATGAAAGGGCTGAGCATACAGACATGTGTAACAATTTGTAATGATGATGTCATGAACAATAATTTTTCAAAATATTATTGATTTCAGAAAGGCATATGATGTACTTTGATGCCATCTGTGATAATTGATACACAATTTATTACAACAGATAGTAGATATAATATTAATTGCATTTTTAATATTTTGTGAAATACCCGATTAAGATAACATATGATTTTATATTAAGATTAATAATAGGAAAATTTTTAAATGGCTTTATACAAGGGAGATCGACGCAACCTATAATGTCTAATCGTCCTTGTAAATGAACATGTTTCTGAGTACATCTTGGACACTGGATTGGGTGGACTCCAAATTATGTTCTATCAGTAAACTAAATTACACGCTACAAACAAGTTTCTGTATTCTCTCCATTGATTATCTAATCGTAAATCTCTTTGAACAATGATACAGAGATCCAGATCGTGTGGTTACAAATAACTAATGTTTATCTATATTACTCGCGCAATAGCCTAATAAAAATTAAATATTGCTTTTCGGTTGAATGTTCGGTCTCGATTATTAAACGCTCTTAAACCCCTTTCTTTTACAACAATGTATTCTTTCAGTCATGCTTTCAGTCAGTAAAATGCTTTGAAAGATCGTTAGGCCACCATTTCAAGAATAATTTGATACGACACGAGTACAATTTTGTTTATCACACATTACTTGCCAACAAAAAGTTTACCGACTGTTGTTACTGGAAAAATGTATTTATAGTCATTAATAAATCGAAATCGTTATATTAAATACTAATCCGATGTTTTGTATGGATTACCGTGGATTGAACGGAACATTTTGTCGCTGCAACTTATTTCCACATACTTGATCTTGGCTCCATTACAATGTGTAAAGACCACTAGAAATAAGCAGTAAGTCGTAAAATAAATATTGGGGAAGAATAGTTGAAGATATTGGCAGATTAAAAAAAGTAATATCAGATTGAGCAATGAGAAGTGAAAAGAATTATCAAAATCACGATCAAACACAGTTACGAGATGTATTCTTGTTTGATTTTGTAAAGGAAGTATATCAGTCAATGTTGTCGGTACATACTGTATTATTGCATTTGAATAGGTATACATATTTCAGATTCTTAGATCCTTAAGAGTAAAGAACGTTTTTATGGTAAATAATACCCTCTCGAATTTGCACTATGACATTTGCAAACTTGATTCCTAAAGATGTCTTATTTGTTATTTGGGATTACATGTTTATATCAAACAGGGGATCAATTATCATGAAAGAACACGCACAATAGTATTTGAACCTTTTATGAAATTCATCCCGGATCAGGAGGCATAGTGCAAAGATGTGATTATTGTACAAGTGATTTTTACATAAGAAACCGAAAAGTTGGATGAATTTGGATGACAATAAATTCAGCATATCGATCTTAGAAATAAGGTAAGAATTATTGTAACAACGGAAGTGTGATATTATACAATATTAAAACAATTGGAAGTGATAGAGAGTGTTAAATGTTGAAAGTTTAAATTTTTTAAGTAGCCTAAAATTTCATATTTCGTGTATCGAACGAAGAAATTGAAATGTAATTGAAAGAAATGAACAATTGAAGTCAATGGAATATTAAGAGACAGTCATACTCTTTAAATTCAAACAAATAGATTTATATTCGAATTTGAATGAATTATCAAAATGGTATATTTGTGTGATTAGTCATTATATTTTGAGAAAATATTAAACGTTATTTAGAATATATCATTTTATACAAGATCATGCATTATGAGACCTCTTTAGCACGTTGTACTTCATACTCAATTTTAGAAGAAAATTAATAAAGAAAATACTAAAAGTCCGTATTAGTATGATAATCTTTCAAATCACACACAGTAAATCAACCTGAAGGCAATATACGAAATGTGCTAACCCGTTTTGATCACCATTATCTTAAGTAATGTATTTTATCGGACACCTCTCCCGATGTCCATGGCTTTATCATAGCAATGTTTAAACTATCTCGTTATTTTCTCAAGTGAGATGTGATTTACATTTTTTATAGCACCATAAAACATCAAGTTTACGAGGATATGTTTAAAAGTACTAAAATGATATGATCACACCTGATGCAAAAATGCTAAGAAAACATATAGAATGATGCTAAAACTGATATATATGCATCAAAGGCATGTGTATATGCAACAAAAATAGTCTGAAAAGCAAATACAACAAAACATACCTTCTATTTATCACGAAATATACATGATCTTAGATCTAAGGAAGGGATTATCTATTTAGTGTGTAAGGAATACGTTGTCAGTTTATATATTAAGAGAGCTTAGTTAGTGGATTTATGGCGTAAACTGTGAATGGACGAAAGAAGGTGCGTATTCTCCTGGTAAAGTAAAAGGTTATCTACTACATTTATTTTCTACATTGTAAGCTTAATTTGCCTCTGGAATTTATTTCGTTATAGTCAAAATAGGAGCATTTGCGGTGAATCTCTGCGTATGACTAACGACTATTTCCAGAGTGTCCTTTAATACTGCTATTTGTTTTTTATAGTCTAGGCCATATTTTTGGACTTCCCTCGTGACAAATTAGAAATTACACTTACGATTATACAATTTGAGAATGTGAACTAAAATATTAATATAAAATATTTTATTGTTTTGTAAACGTTAAAAGGTGTTCTTCATATCTAGCATGTAAAATCAGAATGGCTTGTTTTTCATAGACCACATAAAATCAGAATGGCTTCTTTGGGATATGCTAATGCTCTCAATACGTTAATTACCTAAATTGATACTTGACTTATTTCAAAGACCGATTGGAATGCTCTTGTGATCATATCTTGTGTGTTATACTAATTACTTGTATACGTATGTTGTACTATATTGTGTTGACTTTAAACTAAAATTATGTTTTCTGATAAGGTTAAATGTCGAATGGTCAAAGCCTATCTAATTTGACGAAGAAGATAATTCTAAAGTGTACTTAGCCAGCTCCACACGGACCTAGTGAAGTGGGATAAGTCAATTAAATAGAGCACTTATACTTTATGAAAACATTTTTGGCCGGACGTTTTAAGTCTTCTTTTTAGAATTGATTTCGAAACTGGAAAGGTTATTTGCGTGCATATAGTCGCCCGATGTGCATAGGGACATTAGAGTATAAAAATCAGAATGGCTGGGCGTTGGGTGTTTTGATTTAAGGATTTGATGGCATTGTAAATTAAACATATACTTTTGCTGAAAATTGTTGTACTGAGAAGTGGGAACTCAGAGTGGGATGAACTTTGATGAACTGAATCAAATTTCTATCAATGTTGGGAAGAAATTGTCATATAAAATGTTTTATGTAAGATCATTCCGGTTTCCTGGGCACTCAAGGTAAGGACAAAACTATGTAACTAGTTGACACATCAAATCGTGTATTATTTATTGGCAAATTATAATGATGATTATTTTTATTAGTTTTATATATATTATAATATAACATAAAATTGAAAAAAACTTAATTGTATTTGAATTAAAGCGTTTCTGATTAGAAACAGGGTTTGTATCAGGTAGACATTGAGGGTTATTGCAGAAATGCTTCCTTAGAGTATCGGAATGTGCTCGTTTCCTGAGCTTAGCTCATAAAGGGACTACTTGTTAAAGATGTTTGTTCTACTTATTCAGAGTCAGTTTCAAATGTGTTCTTAACATTCAGAAATGCGTGCGATTAAATACCGACTAAGTACGATTTAAACCAAAGTCGATGTCCAAATTTGCTTTCTCAAACTGCATATTGGAGAAAACTATTAGACTTAAATGCTTTGAATTCAGATATGTTTGTTTGAACTACTTGCACAATAGTGCAGTCTCATTAGACCTGTTGAACTTGGGCCATGACTCAAAATAGAATGACAATGGACCCAAATGTTAGGATCTGGTATAAGAATGCCCCCTCCCCCAAATTATGACTTTTGAGGTATGGCAATGGTTGGATTTTTCCACTTTCTGGTATGATCTAATGGTTAGTTACATCTCACTTGTTGAATGGCATTGGTCTAGTAGTTACACAAATCCTTAATTTCTGAGGTTGTTTTGGATCGTTTTCCTCAAAGATCTGCTTTCTTATTGGGTCTTTAGACATTTTGAATGGCCTTGGTCTTATATCTGGATATTTGGAATGGTATTGGTCCTATATTTGGACATTTGATATGGCATTGGTTTTATATTTGGACATTTGGTATGGCCTTTGGCCGTTATTTGGTTGGTATGGGAACACATTGAGATTTGACAGATTGGTATGGGAATATATTGATATCTGAGGGTTCAGCCTCGGACCCCAGCCAAATTATGTACACAGTGATCCCCCCCCCCCCGAGTTCCAATGGTACAGGGTCTAGCATAATGTACAGTAAAACTCACGTGTGAACGCCTGACTCTAGTGGACACCCTTCCTCTGCACATACTCTACTGACTATCAAATTACCTTACTAACAGACCTATCGCTTTTTCTTGGCAAAACAATATTCAATATACACAGTTTTAAATGTCAAAGAGAAAGACAGAGCATAAAATCTAAGTTTCGCCATTCATAAGGACATCCTCAATTACTGTTATTAAACCAGAAGTGTTGCCTGAAGTCTTATTGATAGATGTCAAAAATGTCGGGTTGCATTTGGAGCGTATGTCTATTTTTCAGATATTTTTCAACTAAAACAGTGGAGATGAAGTCCAACTGCATTGATATACCTCCTTTTTCCTAGAACCTCTGCTATTTTTGCCTCACTTTATCTCTAGATCCTGGTACGATTGGGGCTTGAATTGCAAGATCAAGGATACCTTGTAGAAATCGTGTAGGGGTCATGTTGTAATGTATGTTTATCCCCTTGGTACACATATCTTCCAGTGCCACTCATATATAAGGGGTTATATCAATATGTCAATTCTCTTAGAATCAAAGAACCACACTTGAACATACAATTTAACAATAAATGACAGAAATTGAATAGCTTTAACTGATGATCAGTCAAATATGCGTATATTTCATTAATTTGTGAATTCTTGAGATGGTCCCCTTTTGTCACAGTACTCTTGGGATTAATTAAACAGGGGGTGAGCCAAGAGTGCTTACTCTATGTCAAAATGGATAAGAGCCGATTAACAATTTCAACAAACCCCCCGGCATGAATTATACTACAGTCAAATATCATTCAACATAAAACATATCTATGGATTCCATTCTGACGTTCATTACATCTAGACACAAAGCCATGTTTTAAGCTTTGGAAAATTAGTATACATGTATATAGCTTTTAACTTTATAATACTGAAAACTTATGGAAGAGATCCAATCTACTTTGGATCGTCAAACCAAGCTCAAATAGAGGTAAGAACTAGATTTAAATTCTAATTTTCAATCGTTTAATAAATAACAAAATATGTGGATTATAAAGAATAACAAATAGTATGTGCATGAGTGGTTTAGTAACATGTTAAAGCATGAACTTGGGGCATGTAAATATTTAAAGTGATTATCTTCGGTGATAAGTGGGTCAAAACAGCTAAAACATAAACAGTACTAGATATAGTATTTAGTGTATCACACGATTGAGGATGGTCAATATTGAAATGAATTGAGTAAAGCACTAGTTGATGATGAAATCTGGATGATTCTTTTTTGAACTATTGTTTGTCAATTTTTGGACTATTGTAATAATGTACGTTGCCAGTTGCCACGTTGATTTCAATATAAAATGTGTGAGCGTACAGGGATATACTCAGGATCTAAAAATAGGCGAGAGAAATTTGATGGCAAAACAGTATGAATTAAATGCAATATAACAATTTATACTAAGATCTCATTTTCACAATTTCAAATGAAAAAAATCTGAATTAATATTTTTCTGTAAAAATTGCTGAGGCAGTAACCTCGCCTGTCCAATGGTTGGATATATGTTTCGTACGGAAGCATTAATTTGTTTGGTCAACATGGAAATGTCGGTGAAATTGGATCTATATGTACCTGGTGCAGCTGATGCTTTTGTTAAATGATATCATTTATCGGTTGATCGCTCTTTAAATGTTGCTAAGTGTGCTTTTTGATTTATAAACCACCTTACAAGAAGTGTACTTAAATCAAAACAGTCGTTACCTAATCCCTTAAACCCATTTCTCGGAATATGTCTCTCACCTGACTTATCTGATACATATTCTCCAAGAAATAAATGAAAATCAGATTTTCTTACGTTGTTACAATATTAGGAACCTTGGTTATACATCTGTTGATTTATTCCGTGTTTATCCTACACTTTAACTATGTATTTTGCATTTCAAATCATGACCCTCTGGCGTTTTGCTAAAGGTAACCTTCAAACAACCAGATAACAGGAAGATATCAACGTTTATTTTGAGAACGTAATAGCGGCTTCCGTTATTTCTCTCGGTTCAAACTGTTACAGAGATAATACCATTCACGAAATTGAATCAAGATGATCGATGTTTCGAATTCGATCCGGAAAATGACCTTTAAATATGGGGTTCTATGATATACAAAAAGCTTTGATTTCAAAGTGTATTTATATAGCATCACTTTTTATTTAGTTTATATTGGATATAGGGGATTGCTTGATTAATTCTATGATAGTTCTAAAAAATGTTTTAGAAAAGAGCATTAAAATAACCTTTGTTGAATGGCCTTGTTTTAGGTAGTTAAACTACAAATGTAATGCAGATGTCCAAACAAGTTTTCTTAATTGTGGTTTGCTTGTTTGTTTGTGTGTTTCTTTTTTGCGATTCCATTCAATAAGTTACTGTAAGCTTATTGCATACACAAGGCTATCACATTGACTCCCGAAGGAGAAGCATTCCAGTATAGTCAATGCTTTAATTGAGTTGAATGCTTCACATTTGTATTTAATTGTAAATACAGGTCAACCCCATTGTAAATTGAATCTCACTTGAAAACATCTTAAAGATTATAAACTTGCATGTCAAAATGGTTGGCAAACTATGTTGTCTGGGGGATTAACCTGGAGATGACATCTGACTAAAATATACTATCCAGTATTCAAAAAGATATTTGCTTTAAATTCTACTCTGGAATGTACCGTATATAATCTTAGTTCATATTTTGAATTGTGCACCTTTTGGCTTTCTGACATTTTCCATACAACTTTGCGTGTCTACGTATGTTTGTCTTATTCCATGTCAGTCTGATCATGTCTCTTCATCTCTTTTCAACTCTCATCTATTTCTAGACCATTGACTGCAGATATAAAGTTACTCAATATAATTTATTATAGAGAAATGGTCTGATGAATTGCAGTTGTCTTCTCTCAGGAGGAAGTGCTGACACTTCAGTATCATAACCAAGCACCTCGCTAGGCCAATGCAAATTATATTTCCTGTTTAAAGTCAAGTACGATCCTCTTTTCGCAATTTTGCACCTGTTGTTTTTCAGTTCAGATACTTATTACTATAAAATATCACTCTACTAAGAGATAAGGTACACATGCCTTGTCCAATTTTTTTTATTTTCTATTACATGTTGATTTATGTTGGGCCATTTTATTCATGTTTAAGATTAAGATAAGTCTGGATAATATATTTAAAACCTGTAAAGGGTGTTTTACTTCTCTATGGTCGCAGTTAACTCTGATTGTGAAAGATGCACATCGGAAAACAGCAGTCAATATTTTTGAAATAGGCTATCAATTGTGAAACACATTCATATTTTCCAATGGCCTTCCTAATCTAACTCTAAACAAAAACATTAGGCCCACTTATAGAGAGGAGAGAGCAACCTGCTACAGTATCTCTGACTGAGCTCGGTGAGATTTAGGTAACGAGGTTGCAAGATCGCTGGTTCATGGATCATTCATATCGCAGTACATAAGGTACATTGGTTTGCATATGTGGTATACCTGGACACATACTTACAACGGAATGAAATGGAACATTATAAAGCAATGGTTATAAAATACGATTTACGTTCAAAATATGGTAAGTTTTATATTTCTTATGAACGGTTTAGATGATTATGCGAGGCATTACGTAAACTGCTTGGTTAAATGGATGTTGTCTATGTTTGGCCACGATGCTCTTTGTGGGTTGTATTGATCTGGTGGTGGAATTGTGTTTTGATGAGTAGGCATTTATTTCTGGCTGCTGTGCGTTGATCTATGTTCTGTATGTTGTGTTGGAATTTATACGGTTGTGATAGATTTGTTTTTACTGCGTTACTCAACTTTTATTTATTTATTGTTTTTGGCAAGCTTGTGTTATATTGTTTTCATGGTTTTGCATCTTGTTATTTCCACTTCACAGGCGGACAAAGTGTTTATTTAATATATTTTTGATTGTTCGCTGTTTTATTGTGCTATGTTGTATATTTGGTTGTGCTTTACTGTTTTACGATGTGAAGCATTCCGAAATTCGAATTCAAGAAATAGCCTATGTTCAAATTTTTAAGTGGTAACTAGTCTGGCGGAACATCAGATAACATCGGGATGAAATCTTGCGTAAAGTTGTAATCCATGGACAGTTGTGTTGTCAGGAAATCTCTTGGCAGATGGGCAAAATACAGTTACACCAAAATATCCGTTCCATTGGTTATTTTCTATCCATCCGTTATAAAGCTGAAACCGGCGCCTTCAGCGGGAAGGAAAATGAACATAGAGTTTTACATGAATCCGATAAAAGAATACTAGTATGTGATGGGTATTTATTAAATCAGTCGGCCTTTTTCGTATTTTCCATGTTAATCTTGGTTTTATTTTTGTTTTGATGGGCACAGAACGCACGATATAACTTTGTCACAATTATCAAAATCTACTGATCAAAATATTATCTCGAGTGGCCTGGATTCAATATCTATCTAAGAAATACAAATATCTCGAATTTAAAATTTTAGAGATCTAGTGACGCAGTTTTTCAAACAAGCATCTATCAAAAAACATGAAATGTGTAGGCATCTAATCATCTACTCAATAAAAATAACCCACGGAAAACAAATCATTCGTGAGGTAATAGGTTAACGTGGTTCTGTTTTCCCAAAAGAAGAAAACAACAAATTAATCAAATGAACGAACTTCTATTTCAAGAAGCATGCCGGGGTGAACTTGGGTCGGTGTGGAAGTATGGCATATGGTATTCATCTACCTGAGGTGGAAAACTATTTGATTGCTTGATAGTTCTTGTTTCTGTAAAATAAAGCAGTGAAATGTAGATATTGCGATGAATAAAGTATAAAGACTCTGAAAAGTAGAGAAATGTAATTTTAGCAATTTGAAATTTTAATCAATTTCTATCAAATTCTATAAAGCGCCAATGACAACGATAAGCATGTCTAATTTAGAGATAAAAGAACATGGCGAGGTCTGGTGGTGATTAGATAGACCACAACTGGGTATCATTGCCAAGTTCAACTGTTGATGTGGTTACGTCTCTGGTAACATCGTTCAGCCTCATCGACTTTTCTCACAAGACCATCACACACACTTGTTGATGTTGAGTGTTTGGGAATGTGTTATGGCTTGCTCTTTCCACCAATATGCCTATGGATTAGTTGATATGTTTCAAGTTGAAATGTGTTATAGATTGCTCCTCCCTTAATGTGTTAAACGGATTTGTGGTTATTTTTTCTACTTTGAATATGCCATGGGCTCTTTCCACCAAAATACCCATGGATTGGTGGATATTTTTCTATTTGAAATGGGTTATGGGTTGCTCTTCCCAATAATATGTTAAAACGGATTGCTGGTTATTTTTCTATTTGGAATGTTTTGTGTAATGTGATTCCCGAAGAGCGTTTAATATCTTGCATTTCTTCGAATTGACTTGTTTTCCTAGTACCACCGCGTAGTGTCAGCAGCACGTTACGCGTTCTGTTATATCTCCATCATCAACATCAATATACATGTTTGTACCATCATCAACGTTCACATTATTAACCTACGAGTGTTTCCTGTGCATTTGATCGGAATTCATGTCTTCTATTTCGGCTTGATAGTTTTTTCAATGTTGCTCATTCTGATTTCGATAATCATGTGTGCAAGCTGTAGTCTTTAGTTTTAAAACTTTACAGAAAGATAATTCTATGTAGAACTGAACTGTGTTTAGTTGATATTAGGGAGGTTGAACCCCACGTTTTTAGAAAACGTGTACCTGAACGTGTTATATTACGACCCTTCTCAATTTTTTCAAGAGAGCCAATTACAATTATTTTCCTTCTGCCTTTATACGGAATCAGGCATGGAAAACTCATTCTACACATTCACGTTCGAGTTCTCTTAAAAACACCTTCCTAATTCGTTGCATTTCAATGAAAAGCACAAACGAGCAGTAAAACACTATATATCATCTTGTTTTTGATTTACTGTTTTTCACCATAACTGGTAAATGTTACATAAATCAAGAACATCGATAAGTTAAAATGTCATGTCAGATGAAACTCCACATGAAATCAGGTGTATGGTACTTCTTGATTACGTAAATTCCAACAGGTAAATTACAGGTAACCTTTGAAACGGATGCTCTTGAAATAATCTTGTTTCGGATAATTCCCGTGATGAAGATATCAATATCATATATATGGATCTCAAACTACCCTACCTACCTATCTTGTATCTAACTCAAACAGTAAATATTCGTGGTTCTAGAAATGTAGCACATTTCCAGTGAACGGGAAACTAATACGGCACTGAAGGCAGAAAATGAATATATGGATTTTGCAAGGTTTAACGTAAGGGTAGTCAGGTATCATATACAAGATAGGTGATCAACATGTCTTACATATCGGCATACCAGCGTTCCGAGGTTTAGTTTTCATGATCATGTTTATATATATTTCAGTTTTTTAGTACGTAGCCAAAACGGAAGTTCACCTTTCTTCGATCCAAACTAAAAACGTTTTCAAAGTAATAATTTACACGCTGGCATCTCCGAGTCATAACTTTTTTCTCGAAATCATCATTGAATGGTTTTCTGAGAAATTGTTTTAAGAAATTAATTAAAGGTGGGTGTGAAACGAATGACGTAATAGCCATCATATAGAAAATATCAGGCAGTTTCCCAAGTTGTTCGGTAATCAACTTTAACACTTCGTGAATCACCTAAAACAGATGGTACCTCACAAAATACAATATGACCCGTAATTGCGTGACCTTTTCAGAGTTTCTTAACTTTTCACATTTGGTAATTTACTTTCCATGTTTGTAAAATTGGATCTGCCACAGAGTGATTTATTTTTGTCGATTTAAATGGGCATTCAGCAACTACATCAGGTGAACACACGTGTATTTAATGAAATTGTAAATCGAAAAACTCAACTCAGAATATTGGATATTTTGATTGCCAATACATATAAGTATATAATATATATAAAGTATATAAATTTTTCATGATTCAGCCTGGAATAATTACATAATTCAGAAATTAGCCCTGTTAAATAATGAGCACAAATACATTTCTCCATATTATGCTCGTAACTTTATTTAAGAAACTTTACGTTTTATTTTCAGGCCTGAAGTATGGGTCATTTAAAGTTATCAACATATTGAATTAATTGAATTCGACAGCTTATTCGGATATAGATTAGACAATTAATTGATACCCGTAATCTTGATATCACTTGGAATGCATTACCTTCATTATATCGAAGAGTGGTATGTAGGGATCAAAAATGTATGTTTATGACATTAGGCCCACTTACAGTAAGAGGTGCTTACGCTGATTTGTAACCGTCCCATTACAGAGACCATGAAAAAGGGTTTCCATGTCAATTTGCCTTATCTCTAAGAAACAAAAACATAACATAAAAACCAGGATAAAAACACTATATGTGTGCCAAACAATCCTTCCAAAAACAATCCGACTCAGGTAACCAACTCAGGTCACTAAATATGGTAACGTACGAATCACTTATTTTCCATGATTATTATCAAAATTCATCAATTTTCGTATATGTATATGTATTTTTGCTTTAAAATCCTTACTACTATCTGCTTTTTTCGCTCATTTTGTTTTGAGAAAAATGGGAACAAGATCAAGTTTTGTAAGTGTCCTATTTCGTTATCGTGCCTTAACCATGGGATGTCGTACTCACCATTACTCACATTTAACATGATGTATCAGGTGGGAATATGTGCCAATCTATCAACCTGATTTTGTTCATTTAGACGTCCTTATTGACTCCTCTAATCAGTTAAGATTAAGATTGTGTTCCTATTTTGAAAGTAACTAACCATCGGTTTACATGTTGATGAGATTGACTGATTGTCTGTGTTGCATCATAGCATGTTACATTGTATTATATTGTGTTGTACTAATTAATGTATTATATTATATTGTATTGTGTATTGCATTTCATTATGTTGTATAGTGTTGTGATGTATACTTCTATTGTGTTCTTCTACTTCTACGATGTTCCATTGTATTGTAATTATAATTGTATTGCACAATAGTGTATTGCATATTATTTCAATATATTGTATAATTTGCATTGCTTGTGTGAGTGTTTTACTGTATTGTACTTTATTTTGATGTAATTTGAGGCTAGAATAGCATTCTCTGGGATTCTTTGGGAATTCTACTCGGTCCATAACATTATTGAGTTTGATGTAATCAAGATTGCAGCACATGTATATAATCTGAGAGCACCATTCAGGACTGTTTTGATGATTTCACGAGTCTGGTAAAGGTCACTTGGCTATACTTTGATGCAAGTCAACAACAAGCAGAGATTCTAAAAAATGTCTAAACATTTCAATGTTACTTTTTACAGTTCTTCAACATCGGTGAATTTTACTTTGATCAGAGAAAAAGACAGCCCCATGGTTGCCATGTTAACCTGGTTACCATGGTAACGAATGCATTGGTTGGTGCCAGTTGCTAGTTTGCAGATGTTTTACAGGGGATGTGGCTATCATGGGGGTCTCATACATTCCATTTGGAAATAATCTCTATTTTCGACACAGAAATAAAAATCCCTTTACTGCAGAGTAAAGAACTATAAATTCTGTAATGTCTTCTATTAAATCAAATAATCCTGGAATTATATATCCTAAATATGAACACATTGACATTTCAAAACAATTAGCTAACAACTGATATATGACAACTCAGTACTGTTGAATTATATCGGATCATATTTTAGCTTCCCATACTGCAATACTCAATCGTGCAATATTGAAAATTCAATTTTTGGAAATAATTAAGATTAAATATCAATTTGCTAAAGATGCAAGAGCTTTTTGACTTTCTGAATCAATCGTATAATAAAATTTGAAGAGAAGTTGTCAATTTAAATTTGACATAAACAGACCTTTAGAAAGTGAATTATTCTGACTGGTGGCAAAAATGCTAAGAAACATGAAAAAGTAAAACATCCTTGTCCAAGGGTATTTCAATTTATGCCATGAGCTGGGACAGTGATGCTCGATGTTGAAGGATGAAATAACAAGTTTTAACTGTTTATGTTATAATCATAATCTTTTATCAGTTTTGATGCAAGTCTCAGTAATCGCAACGTCATCGTATTGAGTAGGATCTTATGAACTCTTTGGCAGGACGTTCTTAAATAATTGCTTGAAGATAATTGCAGGCTCTATTTATATGCTGTTTACGTGTTGTTTATGATGTTGTGTCGAAGTGTAAGGTAAACACTTGGTATGATGAATGAAATGAAACTTACTCCTCTGCTTCGAATAACTTTGGCGTATCTTCAAATTCAAAATGTCACTCTCTCAGTGAATGAAACAAAGATGAGCTGTAACCAAAGGTGTCCATAAATTCGTTCGTCCATTCGTTTGTCTGTCTGTCTTTGTGTTTGCCTTTGTTTGTTTGTTACCGTATATATTTTAGTGTTTGTAGAACTGATATACAGGATGGGCCAATATAAATTGGAACATTTTTCTATTGTTTTGTTTTGTCGTGTCACTGCACGTTTGTCTCTCTTGGGAGTCGCCTCTTAAACTCGCTTAAAAATAAGAAAAAAATTTACTAAGTTATTAGTGGCACCAAGAATGTACCAGACAAACATCCCCAAGTATAAACCAAGGCAGGTTTGATCTTCTGTGAATCATTATAACCACTTTATGTCATGTTTTTATTCCCAATGAGGCTATTTAGGGAACACTTATAACCACTGTATACCTTAGCTGTCTGCCCAAGATCAAGTGGTTGTGTATTACGAAAGTGGCACTTAATATTATTCTTCATAACATAAAATATAAAGTGCGTAGTTATGATGTTCATAGGTCATCACCCTCTTCATCTATGGCGAAGTTCATTCCATTCTCTTACACTTCCCTACATAAGTTTGGCAACCCTAACTCCTCATTCATGATAAATTATTTCTATGACTGATTTTAAATGTTTTCCTCAGTATGTTTCAAAATGACAAATTTGAGGCCATAATTTTAAACCGCAAGACATGAATTGGTTTTCACATGTAGAGCAATGGAGATAGCTTGTGTTAAAGCTTCAAAGGAGCTTTGCTGTTCTCCTTGCCTTACGTCAGAATATGACAATAGGGAGTTTAAGCTTGCATATAAAATCGAAACGCCAACGCCAACCTCGACCAATCGCCCATACAAATGCATCGCTTAAATATTTTCCGTTCGCGTTTAGGTTGTGAAAAACCTTTGCAAGCTTAAACTCCCAATTGATGCGACTGCTCCTAAACTCATGATGCACGATCACCATGGCCATGACTAAGATCCTCGTTTTCTTTGTGTTCTTTTGGATGACTCGTTGTACGTGTTACTCTCCTGATTATTAGCATTTGATTTAATAATCAACTGATACTTACTATACATTTATATCTACCTAATCATAAATGGTTTGTTTTATTTTTGGCTAGAGTTCAGAGAGAGAGCCGTTATTGCCTTAAGTACGTGGTTATGATGTAATGGATAATGTATATAATGTCCGAGATGCCTGACAGTTGCTATATAGGAATTATTTAGGGATAGCATCAAATAGTGTCAACGTGACCAAATCAGATAATGACAGCGAGCGCAGCGAACCATTGGGAAAACATTGATTTTTATCATTTAATGATTTCTTTCGAATACTGCTTCATCGGACAGGGTGGTATAAGATAGACATAATTAGATTTATTTTTATTTTTTGGAGTAAGATTACTCCAAACGATTGGGTTCCGAATTTCTCTTGGAGTAACTGAAACCTGGAGAATCAATTTACCAAAAAATTAGATATCGTTTCGAAATGAACTGCAGTAATCTATAATTCGCTCTTTGCTCAATCACTCGTGTAAAATGTCAACATGGCCGTCCAGTGAGGTAACCTAACAAGACATAGAACATGTAAAAGTTGTGGCAGGAAGCCTACTGTTTTAGGTAGAGCTCCAAGAACAACAGTCTGCTGTCAACGTGACTATGTTACGTGGTGGTTATCTTTTAAAAGGGAGTCAGACACTCATAATTTAGTATACCATACATTTCGCCCCGAGTCATTCAACAGTGTCACGATTTAAGAGTCGTAGTATTTGATTAGATTTTAAAATGAATTTACATCAAAATTGCATGATAGCCCTAACAATTATTGTGAAACCATTAAGTTCGTGTTATTGAATGTTAAAATGAATTCGTTGGTTAAGTCAGCTGTTACCTGGAGGTACTCCATGGTAAATTAAACCTCACTAAATATTCCATTTAAAATGAGATCTGACTGTATATTTTCAGGTTGAACGCTACACACCTGAAGATGATAAGACGTACGGGTAAACGACCGAGAAACGCTAACATACAACATGGCGCAACGATAATCCAACATCAACTGAGCTGAGGATTTGATTTCCCTGTGGCAAAATCTAAATCGGATTAAGATTATTCAAATAAGGCGATAAGAACGCTATGTGATATCCAAGATAGCGCAATTCCATAATGTACCAATTAACGTAGAAAAAATACATAACTCAGCAGGATTAGACGGATATTTTGTTACACTTTGGGCGAAAATAGCTTACGCCGTCGAGATGAACTGAACATGTTTTTGTAAATCAGAGGTAGACGTCGATGGAATTTACCGGACTTGACTCTTGACCTTATTTAATAGAAACTTGGAATCTGTTGATAAGTAACACAAGAAATAGACACCTTCGCGCAATAATTATTAAAGGTGCTGTAATTAACGGATCGTGGTTATCAGGAGTTGGTACAGCTTGTTATTAATAGACACTGGCGTTGTCGGCAAGGTGCTTCTAAACATTTCCTTGTTCGTTATCAACACGGGACGTTATGAGGAATTGCCCTAATTACGATTACGTCACTGTCACACCTGGATCTACATAATTTATCCGAACGTGCTTCATTCACTAGAGTTTAATCAACATTCCGACGGATGGAAGTTATTCTTGCATATATAGTATCAGTATCAGTGTGATAATCTTGATATTCAACAGTAACTAGCAGTTGAATTCTAAGATGGCAAGTGGAAAGAAAGCCCTGTTGCAGGATATTTCCGACCAATTCCTGCAATGTAAAATATGTTTCGAGGATTACAAATCGCCAAAGACTTTAGAATGCTTACATACTTTTTGCAGCCATTGCTTGGATAAGCACGCTGATTCGGAGTATGAACGATCGTACCGTTATATGGTGTACGGACGATCCGTTACTTGCCCGATATGTCGCAAGCGGACGGAACTACCGTCCGGGGGGATCAGGAGACTTCCGGACAATTTCCTCGTCACTAACCTCAATGACGTCATCAACAGGGTAAAACCGAGCAAAGTACCGCAATGCGAAATTTGTAAGAACTTTAAGAAAACTACTGTAGACGCTTGTTCAAAATGCTTAGACTGTGCTAAACTACTTTGCAAGTCATGTGTGGAACAGCACAGGAAAACTAAAGTGACTCAAGATCACAGTCTTTTCGATGTCCAGGTCGAGAAAGACATCGAATGTAAGGTACACCCAGAAGAATGCGTTCGGTTTTATTGTGAACCATGCGAAACGTGTGTCTGTGTGTTATGCACCTTCCAAGAGCACAAAGACCACGAACTCTCCTCTTTCACTGAAGGAATCTCCAAAAATCGGAAGAGCCTTGAAAATCTGTCGGTCGTCTGTCAAGATAGGATCAACAAGGTGAAATCTCATTTGGATTTGATCAATAAATGCGAGTTTAACATTAAAGAGGTGGAAGATAAAATTCGGGACGTTTCGTTAAGTTTGGTGCAAGCAATACGAAACAATCAGAAAAACATGGTTGAAAATTTACGCAATATTTATGGTCCGACCACTTTGGAATATCTTCAACACAAGGAGGGTATCAAAGACAATCTCGAAAACCTCCAAAGTACTGTGAATCTCACGAATATCATCCTTAAGGAAAAGAGCGTCGAAGTGTTACTTTTGAAAAAGAATCTTGAAGAAAAGGCCAAGGGACTCATTAATGCTGAAATAATTGAACCCCCTGATGGCATCGAAAAACATGTCAGGTTTATTCCTGGTTCGGTAGCTCTAGGATTTATTGACACTGGTCAGAATAAGGATAGTGAAACTGGTGATGTAGGAAATGAGAACAAACGGGAACATTTTAAAATATCGAACTTTACCGAATTGCAGACCCAAACGGAACGAATTGAAACTTTTGAAAAAGATACCACAATGTGTAAACTTTGCATCGACTACTGCATTGATATGGATACCCAAACTGACATCGTTTCTAAGATTCACAAAGAGACAGAAACTCCAGTTGCCATGACGAAGGGGAAGTGCACATCAACAGAACCTCCTAGTGTCAGTCACAAGGGATGCACAACCGACGAGAAATCCTTTTCAAAAGCAAAAACTCAAACGGACGTTGTTGAAATGATAGATAAAGATGTCGCTACAAATAGGGTTACCAAGAAGGACATGGAGGTCGGGACTCCGTGTATAAGAACTATTAATAGAGGTACGATACCATATAGGGCTGAAAATTACAGGGACAAGAAGTCGATGACCCCAGCGGAATGGATGGAACACAAACCAACCCTACGAGAAATAAAATCACGCAATTTACCAGAGGTAACTATAGAAACAAACGCTGTCCCGATGGTTGCCAAAGAGACAACAACGACGCAAATACCAACTACTGAGATGTCAACGTCGACATATGGAGTACAGACTGTAGAAATGTCTACCACCATGGAGGGAGATGAAATTGTAAAGGTTACGCAATCTAAACCTATAAAATCCAAAATGGTGGATGGATCAACTTTAACGCACGTGCCAACGGAAGATGCCATGTCTAATACAACTACAATCAAAACAAAAACAACAGGTACAAAGATGACAATATCATTGAAAGATACTGGAGTCAATCCAGACCCTACAATCAAGTATGTTGTTGTTCCAGACAAGACTGACACTGGAACCATGCCTGACCTGTGTATCATTGAGAGTCCAACTAAAGCTAGATCAAATGTGCCATTAATTAAAACATGTGAAATGTCCGTAATGACTGATCCCATAACCATGGTAACAAAATCCAAAAATGATCTAGAGTCAGGTACCTTATCTATTAAACCTCCTGTTGCTACAACCAATGCTTCCACTATTACTGACTCTGGTCTCACTTATGCTAACCTTGTCTTGACTGGAAGCAAGAAAAAACCAACCAAGGTTGCTACCGTTGATAAGGGCTCCAACACGTATAGAATCAAAGAACCAGCAAAACAAATCACTGTTGATACATCGACTGAAACTGATACTCCTAACTACACAACTACTGCGTCTGACGCCATCAAAGATGTCATGATAAATAAGAAATCGAATACGACCAGAATAACTTCGGAAACGAAATCAATGAACACCATTAGTCCTCGGTCTTTCACAAAGCAGACAAATACCACAAAGTCTGTAATGAAAGAACAAGGTAACATGACAGATAGAGGTACAACAGTAGATGAATTTACCTCCACTGAATCACCATGTACGCAAGAAGTTGGAGTTCATGTTGTACCAGCAACTATTGTCACTAAGGACCGAGGAACTGATTCAAAGCGAGTATATATGGTTGAGCGACGTGTTGGAACTGAACCTTTGGACTCAAAAACATATGCTGTTGGCACCTCTACTGATATGATTGACATGAAAACTAAACAAACGCTTACTACACCTCCTAGTACTCGAGACAGAAGTGTATGTACGCCTAAAGTTGAAATGGCGACCATAGGAACGAAACCATTTAGGTTCCCGAAACCAGACAAGTATACCATGACGACCAACGTACCAACCGTTTCCAAGGGAACAACAACCATGACTATGAAAACTAAAAAATCAACAGACGCGGGGGTGGATCCGATACCTTTAGAAACCCACTCTAAGGAAACAGAAACGTACGTGCCAACTATGGATGAAGGAACATCGACTGGTGTCTTACTCATGACCAACAAAAATGTAGGGACGGATACCCAACAATCATGTGACGCCATGGTTGGTACATCGTATATTCTTGCCATCAAATGGGCAGAGAGGCTGCGCCAGAAAGCCTTGACGAGTACCAGAGGAACATGCACACCACAGGTGAAGAAAGCAACACATGAAACAAATACTCCGGTGAAAAAAACATCCAACACTGAGACCACAACTAACACAAACGTGCATACTTCAGATACCGGAACATCTACGCCCCGGGTACCAAAAGTGACAACGAGCCAAACCAATACCCCGACCATAGTCCAGACTACGAAAGAGACAACCACCAATAAGGGGATGAATACAAAAAACACCTCCACAAGCATGGTTCCGGTAAAGCTTCTTAGTAGAAAGACCAACACACCAAGCAGAGATCATATCACTAAGTTCACTACAACCACTGATCTGGTTAGCCTCCAAACAACGGCAATAGGGGATAATTCAGTCTTCAATAGTGGGGTAGATAAATACGTCGGCACACTTCCTGCTGATGTAAAATCACAAATAACAAGCACTGATGGAGTAATCCGGCAGAACAGTCAAGAAACATGGACTGAGACGGTAAATGTGGTCAGCCAGGGCTCAAATACAAGCGTTCCTCATCAACCCAGTAAAGAGACAACAACAAACAGTAGTATGCGCACACATGAACGTGCTATCGGGTGTGGTAACCAGGCAAATGAGTTCAAGGTTGACGTGGCAACTGATGCGGTTACCATAGCAACAAGTGATGTAAGTACAAGAACAATAAAAGCACTAACGGAAAGCAAATCAGTTGAGACTATACAGCGTGAAACAAATGATCAACACACAAATACACACCCAGTTGCTAATAATTCAAAAGAAACAACAACACAACATCTTATAGGACTGCAAACATTAGGAACATCTACTGGAGAATCCAGTCGAGGATTTTCAACTGAGAACTCTACAATGACAAACACTAACGTTCATGTTCAAAGTCTTGGTGTAGAAACAACACAGGGACAATATCTGGTGAACAAGCAAACAACAACTGATCCAAAAACAATGGTCGACCAGACTACGAGAACTATCCCAGTAGTTACAGAATCGAAATCAACAGACACACAGCAGACTGTTAACGCCCATCAAGGCACAAATACCGAAAACCAAACGCCCTATAATTTTGTATCACACACTAGTATAGATGAATCCCACGGTTGTCATGGTAACAAAATGGTTGACAAGGAAACATCTATGGTATCTAAGGAGATGATTGAACGTTCAACGACTACCCCACATACAGTGACAACAGATATTGAGATTGTTACTGTTCCCATCGGTGAACAAGATGCCGAGACAGCCACAGATTCCGTCCCAACATCTGATAAAGCAATATTTGCAGGTGTTCGAAAACAAACATCGAGCACTATGACAACGCCGTACGATTCAAAAGGAACCAATCATAATTTAAAATATGATAACAGCACGATGACTGATATTACCGGAAAGATAAGTCTAGGAACAAATCCAGATTTCAAATTGATATCAAAGAAGGAGGAGTTCTGGGAGCCGATGACTGTACAACATGGGAACACACAGGCAGCTTCTTCGTCGTTCATAAGCCAACTCCCGAAGACAGCTAAGTCCATTGTATGGAAGGTAGATAGAGAGACGATGACAAGAGCACGCAGAACAGCCACAAGCTCAACCCGGATGACTCCTCCGCCAAGCACAGAGGAAAGAGGAGTCGGTACTGAAACAGTGCTCGTTGAGGGACGCATCAATGAATGTATAAGTAAACTCAAGAACGTCACGCAAAGATTGAATAATCCTTCTCCTGTGTCTACTCCAGAACGAAAGGCCATCCCTATCACGAGATCGCAAAGCAGTCATACTCCAAGTGATGATGCGGTGGAGAAGGATCTGGCAATAACTCGTTGCAATAGTGAAAAGGGTACTGCTTCGACACACAACACTGGCGATAATCCTCTGGTAGATGTCCAAACGAAACAAGTGGAAAATTCCCCTGATGACGTAGATGGACGACGCAAAGCTAGACAAAGAAGACCAGATATTACTGCTCTCTTGAATCAAGATTCCGATAGCACCGCAACAGATAGTTCCACGGCAAAAGCAAGTCAATTTACGGAGGACGGTATTCCATTGCCGAGGGCGCTCCCATCTAGACTGCATGCGCAACATGTACAGACGAAAACCTTACAGTCCTTTTCAATGGACCCCGATGAATTGAAAAAGATGAAGCTGGAAAGGAAACGTGAGAAAAAGAAGAAACGCCATCATCATACTAGCGGGAAGTCACCAAGAGATAAATCAATCTTGAAGGGTGGTCCAACTTCTGGTGAAACCATCAATCCAGAATCTGCAAGTCCAAAAGATGACAAGATCGTATCGCTTGGAATTAGGAAAACATCTTCCGAAATTGATGAAGAAATGGAAACAAAGGAATTTTCTAGTAAAAGTCCTCAACAGCCATGGAGGCAAAGAGCAGCTCTGCAAAAACAGAAACCTGTCGAAGCACTCGACAATGTGGGGACCAGTGAGCAGAAAACACCCATAAAGCATTTTATTGAGGTTAATGAGAGCCCAGTCATCAAACCATATGATGACAACTATTTACAAAGATCTACGGATAACGCAAGTGCTTTGGAACCCACCTTGAATGAGATTCACCCTTGGAGATCCACAAAGGCAAAACGTAAAGATAAACGGCTGAGAAACAAGACTATAGCAATAGAAACGCCCAGCAGGATCAGCTCTGAAGAGGACTTGTTCACGGGTAAATTTCAAAGGGACTCCACAAATACTAAAAGCACACCCACTGATGAATGCATACCGTCCACTCAAACCAACAAACCCACTAGTGTTGCTCTATCTGATAAACATAAAAATGTGAAGAGCACGTCAATATGTTTCACCCCAGGTCCTGTCAAGGCTGTATTCTTGTCCGACAGTTCACGTGAGTCTTCCTTTGATTCACCATACTCTCCTTTCGCATCACAAGATTCAATTGAGACAAGATACCCTTTTGGGACAAAGGATTCTTCTTTTGGAGCGACATCTTCGTTTGGGACAAAGGATTCTTCGTTTAATGCAAAGAGAACTTTGAATAAAAGTAAAAATATGCAATAATTTCATACGATTTAGTCAAATTCTATTCCGAAGCTTCTCGCTTATACGCCAATGGTTCGTTTATTTCGCATGGGCGTTAACTAATATCCCTCGAAAAGAAGCCATGGGCGCTTGAGCATTCGTGAAGAACGCTAGTTGGTTTTACAGAGAAAAGGTTCTTTTTAACTTACCCTTATTCAAACAAACACCCATCTGGGTCTATTGACGAGGAACTCCGGAAAGTATGAAATATTGCAGTTTTTATTTGATAAATCGATTTACAAATTCAGAGTCCCAACGTTTTCGAATAACTATTTGTTGCACAACACAATGGTCCATTCTGGATGATAGGTGCTAATTATGATAAATAAAAAGTTTTAAACATATAATAGTACTTATAAAAAATAGCATAAAATAGTACTTTTAAAGAGTAAATAGATATATTTTAGATTTTGTTGAATACTAGATATAGTAGTGGATTAATAAAATAAAGTGATTAATAAAATATATTGTTCTGAAATATGTGTTTTGTTCCGTTTTGTAGCCGCAATTGTTATGTATATATCCTACAATTATGAGTTATTTTCTGAAAAGCCCGACAGTCTTGACAATTCTGACTGTCCTAAAAATCCTTTATTGATTTTAGATTGTCTGGCAATAGCTTGAAAAATTGAACTGCCTCTTTTGAATCCTAATTTACAGCAAAACCTGTCTTAGTGAATACGTCTCTCGTGAACACCTGCCTCTAGTGGCACGCGTGAGTGGACAACCTCCCTCCGCACATACTCTACTGACTTTTGTATAAAATACCCTCTTTGTAGTGAACACCTACCAACACTGAACGTTTTTCTCGACAAAAATTGTGTACAATATACACAAGTTTTACGTAATGTATCTGGACATTTCTGTATCTTAAACTTTCGTCTTCAGAAAATAAAATGAGGATTATAAAAATGGGAACTCCGAACACCGTCCACAAAAATTGGAGACTAAAACAATATGTCACCACAATGCAATCTTTATGTCCGAAGGTTGTTTGCAACATTTTACACTATCCATTCTTTCCTGCCATTTTAATACGGTTTCGCAAAATGGAGGTTGAGAGAAGTTGAACGTGAATGAATAGCCTAAAGTAATGTTCCTCTTAGGTTTCCCCTTTTTGTATTTACCAGGAAGGGAGGAAAGATTAAGTAACTTACTGTAATAAGCTTCCTAAACCTACCTATTATTCAAAAGTGGTGACATATTGTTATAGCCATCGTTCTTTGTATGACCGCTTTCAGAATCTACACTTTTCCAGCCAATAGTAACTATACTTTTGTGTAGAGATCCCGTAGGTTTTGATTTTTTGCAATGCCATCTTTTTTTAAATTAGAGATGAATTGGTTAAGTAATATTTATGAAAAGTTTAATATCGTACTGTGCTTTTCATACAAAACTGAGTGAATGAGAATGTTTCTAGAAGATTTCTTTTTTCAGTTGTCAATCAGTTTCTAATGTATGGTACAATTAATCTGTTGATAATAAACAAGGCATTAACATGCAAAATGTCACCATATGTCATTTGTTACAGACGCCGACAGCTGTCCACAAAAAATTGGGAGACTATAAAAATATTTGAGGACATAAAAATCGAAGCAGTATTTGTACCACTCTGCAACTGCAGTATATAAACATACACAATTTTCAGTTTTTTTTATTCATTTATTTAGTATTTCTTTGATACAGCTGAAACCAATACACATTAACAGAGCATATTGTATCAATTTTACTTTTCACTGGAATAAAATTAATTAGGGTAGTAAATATAAATAACGGTCATTTCTTCATTACATGTTATGTGAAAACAGCCAGGTTTTTGTAAGAAATCAATAGATTATAGTTCACGTGCAATCATGAAATACTTGCATGTTTTGAGCTATTGTGATCCACCAAGTTGTACTTTACCAAAAATCAATAGTTTGGACATAGTGATTTATTTTAGTCTGATAACATTTAGAGATAGTACAATACAGTAATTATGATACCACTTCACTTGGTATTTAACGGTATCGTGTAATCTATATATGTTAGCATGTAGTAGCATCTGGTGTTAGCATTTTTCGCCTGAAATATGTCAAACAAGAATATCAATTACCTATAAAGGATGCGTTTAAAGTGTAGATGAAACTTTGAGGTATTTTTTATCTTATTAAGCATTTCAAATCTAGTGGAACTACTTGAGGTTAAACCTATGTCAATTATTATCATATATTATTATCATATAATCACACTTGCAATATGCACCAATTTATTTTGTATTCTGAACAGGCAATGAACCTATGAAACGCAAATCAGTCTGCAATTAGTATGAAACGTAAATCACAGTCTGCAATCTAATAATTCTAATTGCAGATATATACAGTAGTTACCACAGCGGCAATATACACCATGGCCCCTTCTCCATCCTCTTTATAGAAGTCTAATATCCACCAGAAAATTACTATGTTTACAATAATCATTTGTGTTTGGTGTCACATCTTGAATTGTATATATCTGGAGTGTCCACAGATATCAACTTTCTTGGTGATTTAATAACAATTACCAGCCACTAGGCTGTAGTGACAATTATAATTGGTGCTTGGTGTCATAATCTTGAACAGTGTAAGGATCGGAATTTACTGGAGTGTTAAGTGACCACAAGCCAGTAGTGACCATTATCATTGGTGTTTGGTGTCACATCTTAAATCGTAAATAGCCTGAGTGTCCACAGTGTGTCAACTTTGGTGATTTAATCACACACCAGCACCAGCCCCCTCCACCATAGATGTCATAGTTATACCAGGTAGTCATGTAGAAATAATGTCACAGATGGATGTCCCATTGAGTTCTTGGAGATGGTTAATTCTAAGTAGTGTAGTGTAGTGTTGCATTACCAACTGAAGTAGTGTAGTGTTGCATTGCCAGAATGTCTCGCCAATATCTTTATTAAATTGCTAGCTTCTATCATGTATCCTGCAATTATGATAAATTGCTAGCTTCTACCATGTATCCTGCAATTATATACATATGAAACATTTTATTTGAGAAAAATAATATAAAATCTTCAAGTAATACACCGACTATGGCCTGTTATTTGAATTGAATTTTCTATGGAATGATACACAGCCTGCCATCTTTTATCACATACAAGTAAAAAAAATATAGCTAGGTGGGTCACTTCTAGATCTTTATGATGGTTAAACTGTCAAGTTTTTTCCCCTCTACTTAGGAGGATTATAGAGTTACAATAGACTATTATAGACTTACAAATATTTGATATTTATAGTAGTCATATGATATGCTGCACCTCTGTCACAATGGCCAGAACCCATACAGATTTTTTACACAGCATGATTTCTGTGTTTTCGTAAAATATCAGGTCTCTCATATATAAACATAAATCCCGACTTTTATTGTTTAAATTATACATAGTTTATTAATTGAATGTTTCAGGCTTGGTGTCAGCATGTGTATGGAGAAGTCATGCTGGGCATTATGCTAGAAGTTTATGTCTGAGAAAGTTTTAGCACTCCAAGGCCACTGCAGAAGGCACAATAAGCGACTCTAATCCCAGATAATAGAAAAATATAGAAATTATACTTAGAGCTTACCTCGAATGTTAGATGAGTTGGATCCAGAGATAGGGGTGGAGGTGAAATAGACTATCCTTGGTTCTGTAGGATTCCATGGGCCAGACAAGACTAGGAGCCAGAGATGATTGTCCAACACAAGGTATCTTGGTTAGTGAGTTGAATCTACCAGATCACATACCTGGAAATATCACGCAAATATTCTTTAAAGTTACCAATGATATTTTCTGTGTCTAATTATTAAGTTTTTAACAAATAGCAGTTCATTCAATACCCATGATCTAAAGGATCATCTGATGGAATCCTACAGTATAATATGAAACCCTTCAAAAATTTCATTAACTCTGTGTAGATTCTCAGAAAGTGCCGCGTTTGGTTTCATAGTTACCTCAAACGGTAATTCCGTCTCATCACAGAATCATTCATTAACTATTATAAATGTAAAATAAGACAGTTATGAAAAGCATTAAATTGGGCTATTTACTGTTTAAGAAGTAGACTACCTACAGTTGGGGACATAAATAAATGACAGATGGATTTGCTGAAGTGAGGATTTCCCATGTTAAAAATAAGAGAATTTACAAGAGGCCATACATCAGTGGATGAGATTATACAAACTGTAAAATATACAAATTTTAAGGGATATATATCTAGACAATATTGGAAATTATGGGCTTTCAGACCACCATAATTAGGAAATGGTGATCGAAAATCGACCTGTCATTTATTTTTGTCCCCAACTGTACCATCAGATTGACATTTCTGCAGACCAGTCTTTAAACTCATTATCAGACTCCAGAATGGATCTTCTCCCATTTTATGCTACTCTTGTCAATTGCTATAAAATGAAACACTGTATTACTTCCACATAAAGTCCATGAGTATTTTTATACTACATTTCAGCATGACTTATTACATAATGCTATTAAATCCTGCCGAACTGCTATATTTGATTCATTGTTGACCTCAAACAGTTGGTAAAAATCAGGTATCTCCAATAATGTTGCCATGTAATTGTATTTTCAATATTTTTCTGCCCTAACTTTAATCATACATAATTTATAAATTGAATGTATCAGGCTTGGTGTCAGCATGTGTATGGAGAAGTCATGCTGGGCATTATGCTAGAAGTTTATGTCTGAGAAAGTTTTAGCACTCAAAGGCCACTGCAGAAGGCACAATAAGCGACTCTAATCCCAAATAATAGAAATACTACAAATTATACTTAAGAGCTTACCTTAAATGTTAGAGGAGTTGGATCCAGAGATAGGGGTGGAGGTGAAATTCTTTGTTCTGTTAAATTCCATGGGCCAGAAAAGACTAGGAGCTAGAGATGATTGTCCAACACGAGGTATCTTGGTTAGTGAGTTGTACCTACCAGATGACATACCTGAAAATATCACACAAATATTCTTTAAAGTTACCAATGATATTTTCTGTGTCTAATTATTTAGCTTTTAACAAATAGCAGTTCATTCAGCACCCATGATCTAAAGGATTATCTGATGGAATCCTACATTATAATATGAAACCCTTCAAAAACTTCATTAATTTGGTGTAGATTCTCAGAAAGTGCCGCGTTTGGTTTCATAGTTACCTCAAACGGTAATTCCGTCTCATCATAGAATCATTCACTAACAATTATAAATGTAAAATTTTACAATAATGAAAAGCGTTGAATTGGGCTATTTACTGTTATACCTACCCTATACCATCACATTGACATTTCCGAAGACAGTTGTCAAGTTCATTATCAAACTCCAGAATGGATCTTCTCCCGTTTCATCCTACTCTTGTCATTGCTATAAAATGAAACACTGTATTACTTCAACATAAAGTCCAGGAGTATTTTAATACTACATTTCAGCATGACTTATTACGCTATTAAATCCTGACGAAGTGCTATATTTG